CCGTGATTGATTTTTCAAGTCCACCCTTTGCGGGCCCCAGCCCCCATCCCAGCCCACCACCGCATATGTTGGCAAAATTTGGCGCAAGTGAACCGAGCAGAAAGCCTGTAAATACCGCGTTAGACCAAGGGCTAGGGATTTCACACATCGGCTCAAAAAGCTTGTAAATACCGCGTTAAGCAAAGGCTTAGGGATTTCGCACATCTGTTGGCAACATCTGGCGGAAGTGAGCTGCGACCGAGCGTGATGCGGTTTGCACAGGGTTTGCATCCCGGCAGGCGGTAGCGTCGTGATGCGTCGTGGCCGGTTGTGTTGGGAGCTGTTGGGATCGCCTGGCCCTGCATGGGACCGCAGAAGCACCTGACAATTGGGAAAAAAACAGGACGACATGTCCAGTTGTAGCACGCATTCGCGAAAGTAGGTGTTGCGCGTCTCGTTCATCCCCCAACTATGCAAGCCACAGGCAGGGCAACCGCACCATTCTTCCTGTTGAAGAAGATCGCGCGCCGCTACCGCCACTTCGCGACGGCATGCAGCTTCCCAATTGCGGCCTTCGAGTGCTGCGAGGGAATCGGGGCGCGTGATGGCCTGTGCGCCCTGCGGACTGCAAGCCCAGCCTGCCATGCACGGCGAGCAATGTGGCGATGGACCAGGCGTGGTGCGATTCTGCCTCGCGAAGTCGCCCATACAGGACCGCAAAGTCTTCCAAATGCCTGCATCATGTGCTTGCGCGTGCCCTCGCGCCTAGGACGGAGGCAACGTGCGAACCATGGTTCGCTGGAGGGGCCGCACCCACTCCACTCCGACACGCGTTCCGCCCGCTACTTCACGAAGTCGGGGTGCCAGCTTTCCATACCAAAGCAAAACATTCACAAACCAGCTGCAGCGAGTGAGCATCAGACAAATTCTTCAGCCAGCTGATACCTGCTACATTTATTGTATACACGGTGAGCACTTGAGTACCGTGTCTCTTGTTGACCCAGCTCTGACACAGTGAGCGCTTGAAGACCACTTTCGCGTGGTCTTTGGCTGGCCCCTGGACTGACACCGAAGTTTGCGGCCCTTTGTCACAGCGCCTGAGAGTTCTACGACGTAGGTGCCTAATGCGCACCATCTGCGCTGCAACAAAAAACGCTTGTAGATAACCGACCTACAAAGAGCTACAAGCGTTTTTTGTTGCAGCGCAGATGGTGCGCATTAGGCACCTACGTCGTAGAACTCTCAGGCGCTGTGACAAAGGGCCGCAAACTTCGGTGTCAGTCCAGGGGCCAGCCAAAGACCACGCGAAAGTGGTCTTCAAGCGCTCACTGTGTCAGAGCTGGGTCAACAAGAGACACGGTACTCAAGTGCTCACCGTGTATACAATAAATGTAGCAGGTATCAGCTGGCTCAAGAATTTGTCTGATGCTCACTCGCTGCAGCTGGTTTGTGAATGTTTTGCTTTGGTATGGAAAGCTGGCACCCCGACTTCGTGAAGTAGCGGGCGGAACGCGTGTCGGAGTGGAGTGGGTGCGGCCCCTCCAGCGAACCATGGTTCGCACGTTGCCTCCGTCCTAAGCGCGAGGGCACGCGCAAGCACATGATGCAGGCATTTGGAAGACTTTGCGGTCCTGTATGGGCGACTTCGCGAGGCAGAATCGCACCACGCCTGGTCCATCGCCACATTGCTCGCCGTGCATGGCAGGCTGGGCTTGCAGTCCGCAGGGCGCACAGGCCATCACGCGCCCCGATTCCCTCGCAGCACTCGAAGGCCGCAATTGGGAAGCTGCATGCCGTCGCGAAGTGGCGGTAGCGGCGCGCGATCTTCTTCAACAGGAAGAATGGTGCGGTTGCCCTGCCTGTGGCTTGCATAGTTGGGGGATGAACGAGACGCGCAACACCTCGGTTGTTCCCCAGCAGCGTCGCAACTTCGGCGGCGCGAGCGGGAACAAATAGCTTAGGGTTTAGGGTTTAGGGTTTAGGGCACACAACCGCACCCAACGTCCGCTCCGACGACCGGCGCCGCCTGGACCTCGTCATCTACGGCGCGACGCCTCTTGGCGGGGCTCTTTGCTGCGACGCGACGCTGGTTTCGCCGCTGTCGCGCACGGGCTTGCCGCAGCCTTGTGCAGCTCAGCATGACGGTGCAGTCCTGCGCGTCGCGGAGCGCCGCAAGCGAGCCGCCTACCCGGAGCTGAGAGCCGGTGGCCCGCAACAGCTCGTCGTGTTGGGGAGCGAGGTTGGGGGATGCTGGAATGCCGGTGCGCGGCAGCTGCTCCGGGATCTGGTCCGCGTCCATGCCCGACGAGCTCCACCAGCCATGCGACGTGCTGCATGGACGGCATGGGCCAGGCGTTGGTGGGCCATGCTGGCAGTGTTGGTCCAACAGGCCGTCACAAGCACAGCGCTTGGGTCAGCTTGGCCCGCACCGCTCCGCGCGAGCCAACCATCGGCCCCGTGGCGGGGCCGAGCCGTCTGCCGCTTCGCGGCCAGTATGGATGAAGTGTCGTAGTGTAAACAGCTGCTCCGCGCACAAAGATCACAAAGCATGCAGCAGGAACCCAGACCATGCAGGTGCAAAAGAGGTTTAAAAAAAAATAGTTCACAAGAGTGTCGGACGCGTTCACTCCCGCTAGCCGCCTGCCGCCGCCCTGAACCGAACCAGCCTGTAGCCCGCAGCCTTCACGTGCACTCGGACCGCGGTTACTGTTCGAAAAGAGGCGCGGGACAAAAAATGCACCCGTGCAATCTATGGCACCGTTCCCATGCTAAGAGTAATATGGGTTCTCCTCCAAGAATGAACAAATGTGAGGGTGCTTGTGCATCTTGTGCTTCCGTCGTCAACGCTTTCGTTATAATCGCATCCAAAATGAACCCAAGTTGCCGAAGATCCCGCACCGGGCTTTCTAGCAAGGTTACGGCCTTGTGCGCTGATGCACATGGCGAGACGATGTATTTATATACGTTTGACGCGTTGTACCAGGCATTGAGATGATTTGAGAAAGGCACACAACTGCATATTATATTTTATATGTTCCCAGCACAAAACACTAAAAAAAATGCATGACCCCTGGTATGTACAGTAACTCGCCGTTTACGTGATTTCCTGAGCCCTACAGTGGCTAATGCAGCCTTTGGGCGTTCAGGTTTGACCTGGCGTTTCTTCCAATGAGATCCTTCGTGCTGGCAAACAGCTGAAACGCAACAAAATCACATTGCAGGCGGAAAAATCCCCATTCCATTTGCCCCCTATCTCGGACCCGAGCACGACGAGCTTCTGCGGGCCCCGACGGCATCAGTTCCGGATACGTGCCCCGCTTACGCTCTACGGCAGTGTGGACGGCGCCGTCAGCATGGGCAGCTCGCGGGTGCGGGGGCCCATCCAGTTTCGCGTCACAGCGAGGGCGCCATCGTGAGCCTTCGCTCCGCACACAGCCAGGTCGAAACATTTGCGGTCATCGGCGTGTACGTTGGGAGCTGTGGTGCGGCCGAGTGAGGGACGACGTGGGCCTCCGGTCCGACTGCCGCGCCACCTGGATCCAGGCATCCTCCACAAGCTTAGATAAGAGGCCGGTCAGCGGGCAGGCATGTTGGCGCGTGACAACCAGGAAGGTCCATTTCCCTTCCGCGTCCATGTTGATCCCTACCTCCACAGCGGGATTGTGTCAAAGGAAGTGGGAGTCGCAGCCTCCGCAACAAGGCGATCTGCATCTCCGAGGGGGGTAGCATGAGCGCTGGCTATTGCTGGCTCGGAAGGTACAGCAGTCAGTCGTACGCCAGCATGCGAGCCCCCTTGCGAACGTAGGAGAGCTTGATCGTACAGTGACAGGGATGGAAGCAGCGCGCGGTCGCGATGGTATTGGTTGCGAGTCTGCGACGCATGCCGCTGCCAGCCATGTGGCCAGTCACCCAAGCCTTCCTCCCTCGCGTGGTGACGTGGCGGGTGGGCGCCATCCCCGAACGAATGTTATTCCAATGGGTGACTGTGGAAAAAACGTCCGACGAAAAAACAAAAAAACGGTTGCTGGGACCAATGCGCGTTCTTCCCCCTTAGACTGCGTTTTCCAGGACCCTGCTGCTTGCCTAACCCCCGGGGCCTACACTGGCATCGGCATCAAGCATACAAACCGCGAACAAACCTTTCAATTAGACAGAGGATTTATACAGGGGACGCAGTGCTGATTCGAAAACCAGGCACAGGGGGCGAACCAAATGTGTCCCCTAGGGTAGCCAGCTGATGCACCCGCGAGGTTTGCCCAAGTTGTCCGCTCCAGTTGTGTTCTCTGCCCTCTGCCCTGCCTCTGCCCTCTGCCCGCCCTCTCTCTGCCCTGCCTGCCTGCCTCTCCGTCTGCCTGTCCCTGTCTCGGTCTGTCTGTCTCTCTGTCTGCGTGTGTGTCGGTCGGTCCGTCCGTCTGTCCGCTTCTCCGTCTGTCTGTCTGTCGGTTTGTCTGTCTGTCCGTCCGTCCGTCCGTCTGTTTCTCTGTTTGTTTGGCTTGCTTGCACGGAGTATGGGGCAGGGGATGTTCGGAGGGAAGCAAAAGACTTGTCCCAGGCGAAATTCCAACTACTAACGTGCTCCCCTTGGTTCCATTTGTCACTCACGTGGTAGCCTGTCTGCCGACTCAAGTGCCCTGGAGTTGCTCCGGGCGTCTGCCAAGCTCATTGTCGGCTTTCCAGGTCCAGCTCCCCCCCAGCCAGCCCAGCCCAGCCCCGAGCCCGAGCCCAGCCCAGCCCAGCCCACAGAGACAGAGACAGACAGATAGGCACAATACGTGCTGGGGTTCATTGACAAGTGATAAAGGATTTTGAAGTTCGGACGGCCTCATCGCATCGTGACTTGAGCATGTGGTTCGTATGTTCCGTCGTCTTGCTGCAGTTGCACTGTCTGAGCACACGAAGCATGCATTTGTTTTTTTGACCAGTTTTGTAACTACCAGCCATGACAAGCAAACCTATGCAGTCATTTGTTGTTACATGATGCATTTTTCGGCTACAGGAAGGACCACTGGCCACGAGAAGCCATGGAACTACCATTGCAACATGGTCCAGCAGTACTGCGCTGCACGCCTGCTTGTGGCTCGCATGTGATGAACTCTCGAAGCGTTGGCAGCTCCAGCCAACAACGGCATCTTCGAAATGTAATGGGGGCATGTTGCATATTCGTTTGGGCAAGGGCAGTATCGACACGAGCGCCGTGCATCAGCCAGGCAGCTAAAGCAAGAAGCAGCAGAAAGAAGTCACAAGCGAAACACTTCGGACCAAAAGAGTTGAAGAGTGGCTATTGGCAAGAAGACTTGGACATCGATGATGATATCGATGTTTTTGAGTGGTTCAATGCGGAAGAACTTCTTGGAGATCCACCCGCCAAGATTACGGAGTTCCGCGAGGTAGCAAAGTACACCATTTACCCAGAGTGCTCTCCTGAGAGATTTGATGCACCGGATTACCGCTCACCACCTCCTAAACTGCAGCTTGCGAAGGGGCTGAAGGAGCCGCCAGAGATTGATCAAGGCTTTGGGCGCTCGTTCACCGCAGACATGCGAGATGAGGTTACCCAATTCGGTCAGGATGATTTTGATCTTCGGAGTGCTGATGTGGTGATTAGTTTTCCCGCTTTGCAGACGCTGCTCGCATTCGTGGACGGGACACTGACAGAAGACATGCGTTCCAAGGGGTTGAACAATCGACGCGGCAGCCAAGCTGAGCGCATCGACCTTTTTCGAGTAGGGCGACTGCCTGATGCTCCCGAATCAATGTTCATCGGCACAGTGTGGAACTGGGTACCCGAAAATGCAACAGCAGGTACTGCAAACTTCAACAAACGGTCTTACGATGTCAATTTTGAGCAGGTGGTCTCAGGAAATGATACCATTACCGGTCCACATTCTGTTCGGGAGTTGGACAATCCCGTTCATTACAGGGTGCTGGAATATCAACTTGCGGATCTCAAACTTGTAGTCCGTGTCCCAGTCTCGTGCACAATGCCGCGAATGGACGATGAAGCGATGCCGAATCCGGGAATGGGTGTCGAATGTTCGACGGCCAATGAGCGTGATGCTGGCGACGTTTGGGGGGCGACCCTCAGTTCTAAATTCGCAGAGATGCAGCTGGGCAATATCGGGATGCTTGCTCGAGGCATCGTCGATAGAGGCACCATCGTAGACCTGCAGGAACTGACACAAGATGACCTGAAGCTGGACAGGCCAGGGCTGGCAGAGGAGACGGAAGCCTTGATGGGAAGATTAGCTGGCTTGCTCGGTCGGATCAAAGAGGTCGCAGATTGCCCAGGTTGTTGTGATCGAGTACTATACCTTCAATACTGTGATGCTGAGCTACGGCTCATATCGCCTTGGTCAGATGAAGACTTGGAAATGCTGGAGAGCTTTCCGGACATTAGCAATCAGGAAATGGAGCAGCTGCTGTTCGGAGCATGACCAACAAAGCGTGCGCAAAAGCTGCATCCATGATGGGATGTTGAGTTCTCTGCCATTGGCCTGAAGTCACGGGTCAGGTCAATTGCCTGTGCAAAGAATCTCTTGAGATAGCTGCAGCGACATGAAACAAGGCGGCTCAAGTGTCAGGTGGGTCAGTCGTTGATTCTACAAACCGTCCGCATCCAGCACTGCAAGGCAGAGGATTCGTTTTGCTAGGTCTGAGAGAATGTAACTATAGTTCAAGGCTTAGATTTCTGCTGCCATGGATGACACGCGGCGGACGGTCTTCTCTGGCAGTGCTTTCACCGCAGCACAGACCTTTGTTGCCGGAGTCAGCCACCAGAAAAATCGAGAACTTGCATCTGACCTCGGGCGCAAGCAGTTCGGCTTTGCGCATGAAGAGTTCGAGGACGAGTCTGGGTTTTACGAGGGGACCTTCAAGGTAAAGGCTAGGAATGGTTGTGGTGTGCTCGTGGAGAGCAACTCAGGCAGCACCTACAAAGGACAGTTCTTGAATGATAGGAAGCACAAGCACGGCTTGCAAGTTTGGGGCGACCAGTCTTCCTACGACGGGCAGTGGATGCAGGGATCCAAGCATGGACAGGGCACTTACCAGTCAGAGACAAGCCAGTACGACGGGAGATGGGCCGATGGTCTTCGGCATGGCTTTGGAAAGCAAGTATTTGCGAATGGCGACGAGTTCGAGGGAGTGTGGTGGAAAGGTCAATGCAGCGGGCCTGGAGTGTACTACCACCGGGATGGCTCCGAGTACCATGGTGGCTGGGCTTCAGGGAAGCGCCACGGGGCTGGCATGTATTTTGGTTCAAGGAACCAGAAGGAACACCACATGTACCAACAAGGTGTGTTGATTCAACGAAAGGTTCTTTTGCCAGGGTCAAAGCCACCAAGAGGCCAACGTGCAGGACAACCGATGCATTGCGACAAGCTGCTAGCGACACAGACGCAGCTGGACATGATGAGAGACACGCTTTTCGACGCATTGCCCCATGTTGGACACCTGTCGGTGAAGGATTCCACCGTGCTTGATGTGTCTGCGCCGTCGATCAGACGTCAGATCGCAGCTGCGACTGTTGCAGAGATCAGAGCCGGGCTGGTCAGTGCCGATGACAGTATGTCAGTTCAAGAGATTTCACTGTGCGAATCTGCACAGGACGACAAGGATTTATACGATGCCATTTTCGCACACGAACTGCCCAACATGCTACAGTTTGAGGAGCAGCCTCAGATGGCCCAGGGCCAATGAGTGTTGAGCATCTGGGCTTTGTTTCGCCGAGTTTCACAAGACTTCACATGGCATCTGGCTGCTCCTTCCGAAGGTACGGAGCATGTCTGCTACCCAACATCCACATCTAAGTTGCAACATGCAATGTAGTTGGATAGACTTGATGAGTCTCCCGGTTGCAGAAGACAGCAGCTTCACCAGACGTGCTGCAGCACATCAGTGTATGCATGGATTTGCCGATGTTGCTTGTTAACATCTGCTGACAATTGAAATGGTTCAGTTCTGCACTTCCCAGGGATAGGTGTACTGCATCTGTTTTTTGAGAACACGTCGACCCAAGCTGCGTACCGATTGATGCTTTAGTCAAACGTGGCTCTGCAGAGACTTGTCAAGCCGTGTGACCTTGGAGCAGTTGGCGGGCCTTTTCGATTCCCGTGAAATGTGAGAAGGAGATCTGTGTTGCTTTCTTGATGGAGTCCACTGTAGTGTGGTGAGGCTGCACTTGCTGCAGACTGCTGCAGATGTAAGGCGGCGTGCAACGGTGTTTCGCGCAGGGGGATGGCTCAATTCAGCAGCCGAGCCCCACTCTGCGCACGCTCTGCGCACGAGCTGTCCGAGCTGCGCGCACGTGAGCCTTAATGATGCTCGGTTTGCGTATCCGGCAGAGGGTTACAGGGAAGCAGCTTCTTTCGTATCAGCTTTGCGAGGAAGTTGGTCGCCTCATGGGCTTGGCAGTGGCTGATCGTCTGCTTAGCCGCTCGAGTTGAAACGCTTCGTGTCAGTCTCTTGTTTTGGGGCTCTCCACTTTCGGCCTTTGCGAGGAGCTGTGGGTTGTAGGATGTGTGAATTTTGCCATTCAGGCTTGCAGCAAGGCGGCTGCCTGGAAACTTCGTCAAGAAGTTCTGGGCAACCTTAGCGCCTCGAAACACAAGCAGTCAGTATTTGGGTGTGCGGGCCAGTATCCAAGCAGCAGTTGGTAGCTCAGGTTCTTCGGCAGTTCCTTGACAAGCAAATCGAACCTCTTGCTTTGTGTTTTTTGTGGATGCGTTGCTGCTGTTTGCCACTGCAGTTGCTGCTGCTGCTGCTGCCGTTTGCACCGAATCATATTCTGGCACAGATAAACCGAAGTATCGTCCCGAAGCGAAGATGCAGCTACCGAAGTCTACCTCGATGCACTGGCATTGCATGTTTACGTTCACAGTTTCATCGTTGGCCTTCCAGGACGACAAGTCTTGCCAGCGTCACGTATGTGGCTGGGGGCTTAGCGAGGCCGATCGGTCAACCCGCGACGTTTTCATTGGCGGTCCTTTATCCAGGTCGTGGATGGGCTCCAAAGCCAGATCACCACAAAAGGCATGGAAATACGGACTCAGCGTGCTGCGACAAGCCATACCCCCAGACTTCAGTGATTCTGTGTCATCCCATGCCGAAAGATGTCCAACGTGGTCGATCCAGCCAGCCATGCTCCCAAAAAGTGCTGCCAGAACGTGCGCTTTGTGGACGTGCACAGATGGCTATGCGCAAAATGCAGCATATGCAAGGAATGTGCCTCGTCTTGAGAGCATTTCTTATGGCGGACAGGACAGCCCGCACCGCATCACGCCTGCAGAGGTCTACCAGAGCAACGACATGTGCTGTGACGAGACCTGTGTGCACGTCGGTTGCGACAAGGGATACAAGAACAGGGGGTCCTCGGTGCATGCCACGTCGCCAGATGCGTGCTGTGCCGCTTGCCCACAATTGGAGCAGAAGTTCCAAACGAACGAACAGTCTTAGTAAGAGCTTGCTTCTGAACATGAATCACAGCTCCCCTGATCTCCCCTGCATTGTGCAGAGGAGGTGACCTGCGAGCTGTTCAGCTGTCCTGGTAACTGGAGCCAAAAGCCAGGACCTGTCAGGCAGAAGTTGGTTGATGGTACTGTGCAGGGTATGCACCCACTGAGAGTGGACTTGCCAGGGTTGGCAACGACTTGGAGACGTGTTGCGCACCTCATTGCGTTCTGTTCGACTGTGAAGCACGTCGCTTGTCCAAAGCTTGGGGTAGAGGGTTAGCGGGTGTTGCATACATGTCTTTGAGGACACTTCCATTCGACCTGAGTGTGTGTGCTTGTGATCCCAGCTGTGCCCCTTCTGCTTCTGCTTTGCTGCTGGGCTAAGTTGGCTGGGAAGCTGACCCGGTAGCTTCTGGTCGCATCGGCCGCAGCAAGACGGAGTGCTGCAAGAAGGCCGTTGCTTTCACTTCGGTCCTTGCGTAGTTGCCGGTGTCGCAAGTTCCTGCGAATGTGCAGTGTTTCGTCCCGAGACATGCTCATCGTGGTCGTGCCCGGCTGGATACGCAGTTCCTGAGAGCCTGCGACACCTGGATTCTCCCAGCGATTCAACATGCTGTCGTCAGACGTATTGCTCCGCATTCAAATGTTTCCTGGCCTGCACGATCAAGCTCTCAAGGAGGGCCTTCAGGGCAGATCTAGGATTTAGAGAGGGCCTCCGAAGGTGTGTTTCGCGTGGCGTCCAGCACCCCGTAGCATGAATACGATTGCATGACTGACGAGCCTCTAAAGGAGTTGGCTTGCCGCCGAGGTATGAACTTAGCATCTCCTGATCCTGTGTTGTCGTAGATGTTGGACGTGAGGTATGTGCCTTAATATTGCTCGTCAATATGTGGCTCGACTTTGAACCAGTAGAGACAGGCGGCGAGTCTTGAAAGTTCAGTCTTCTGAAGCTCACATATGATAAGACGAGACAGTTCGAAACCCCCGAATTCGTTACCGTGGATGCAGTGCACTTAAATTTTCTGATGCAAGTCTAGGACCCCTTCAATACCCCGGCACCGCGCAAGCAAGCATGTGTGCAATTCTCACGGCGGAGAACGCATTTTAAAGCTGGGGCCGTGCAAGACCCACGAGCGAGGCGCAAGAGTTTCGAGCTAAGGTTTGCAGTCATAGTAAAGAATAGCCCCCCGATAATTGTGCCGCGTTGGTCAATAGAAGATTTGCTGGGCATGGGGCTGCAAATATCTCCATGCTTGTTGATGTGTGTTCGGTGACGGGCGCGTGAAACCAATCTGAGGTGATGCGGGTTGGAATCGCAATGAATCTGCCAAAGATCAAGTCGGCCATTCGAACGAAGAGTGCTGCATCGCTACTTGTTCTGTTTACACATGTGATGCCTCTGCTGGCTGGGCAAATTCGCCCGCGAAGAAAAGTGTCGTTGGGGATGGCCCCTTACTTTGCTGTGAACCCGCTTGCAGTAATCACACCTGCAGCCAGAAGTGGGTGCCGAACAAGCTTGTTTGGGACAAGCCTGGCCAAACGGATGATGTTTGCTGTATGAAGTCTTGCGAGCTGCATGATTGCGATGCATCCCTTGGGTGGAAGACAAATGGCCACGCAGCGGCAAAGCCTGCAGACAGCGATGCGACCTGCTGCTTGCCAACTTGCAAAAGATACTCTTGCAGTTATGGATGGCTCGCGGACCCGAAGGCTTCTGACAAGGTTCGTGTGCAGCAGAAAAAGCGTTTCTAGATGCACAAGCGTGCCATAGTTTCTGCAGCCACTCCTGTCGACAGCTCTTCCAGCCAGGAGGGCACCAGCGATGCCGAGTGTTGTTTGAAGACCTGTCGGGCGTACTCCTGCGATGCTTCGAAGGGATGGCTGCAGGAGAGATGATGATTTCTGGAGTGAGTACAGTCAGGGATGTTACGAAAGGAAGCATGCGCAGGTAGGGCATTCACGTGCAACGAACTGGAATAGAATTCACACAGATCGAGACTGGACTTTGAACACGTGAATATCGTAGACCTTCACAGAAGTGTACTGGCATTGGAGTTTGATTGTGCGTATGTCCTTTGTGTGTCCCGTGCGTGACTGCTATTGGGGTTTGGTTTCACGACCGTTTCACGCAGACATCGTGTCGAAGCCCACTCTGGCAGGATCCAGCGTCGCTGAACAAGGTGGGTGAGGATGTGTCGACTTGCTGTACGCCGTCGTGCAGTCTACACAAATGCAGCTCAGGCAGGATGGTCTGACGGACAGAGCCATTGAGTATACCAAGGGGTTGTAGCTGCGGATTTTTCCACAAGCGGTGCGGGAATACTCTAGTAGTTAATCAAATGAAGGTAAACATGTGGTTCGCGCACATCGTTTTCTACAGTCCCGCCGTGGCCATGTTATCCCGGAACATCCAATGCACCGTACGGGCAAATTCCAAAACAGTGGCGCTGTCCAACTTGATGAATCGCGCTCGCGCCAGAATGCCTGGGTTTTCTTTTGTTGGAATCGTGTTCCGGCCAGAGTCACGTGTTCATTTTCCTTCGAATCGTTCGAGGTCGTTAAAGATCTAGCAAGGCCACACTATTGGGCTTGTCCGAATCTCGGAGATGCCGCCGCTCTAAACGGGGTGTGTCGCCACGTCCCGCCTCGTGCCCTCCACGTGTCCGAGTCCTTTGGAGCACTGTCCTGGGCCCATCTTCGAGAAATTTCGAGAAGCTGGCACCCGCGCCAGAGTCCGAGTCCCTTTCGGGCACCTTTGTACTTCCCAAAACGAAAGGCTCGTGAACAGCTACGGGTTGTTGAAGGATTAGACTTTTTCTGAACGGAGCTTCGCCTTCTGTCGTTGCAGCAAACATCGTGCTAACTGAGCTGCCATCGAACAGATAGTCTGACTGGCTGTTCAACAGGTTTCATGCAGCTAATGCACCTACACAGCTACTGCTGCCCGGAACTTTGAACCCGACATGGTTGCCTTGATCCATGTTCTGAGATTATGGTTTGTGCATGTTTGTGCTTTTGAGCAGGCTGGGTGGCGAACACGGCCAAGACAAACACTGCTGGCGACACTGACGAAGACTGCTGCTTGAAGTCATGCGCCTTGCACTCGTGCGGCGGTGTACCTCGGCTTCGAGAGCAGAGCCAAGTAGCAAATGACAGTGTTATCACCTGGTCAAGACCAGCATGCGCCCTTGCCAGAACGATCCGATCTTGGTCAAGAAGCAGGGCATTGACGATGCCGCCGGCGACACGGACAAAGCTTGCTGCGAGCCTGCGGACTGCCAGGAATGGCCACGCAAACTCGTGCAAGCAGAAAAGGGATGTGAAAAGGTTCCTATCACCCAGGAATGCACGAGCCTTAGTTTTGAGCCATCGGCCACGTCCTGGCATTGCCACACACCTTGGTCCCCCTTGTTTCAAGTCGGGAGGCAAAAACAATTTGCAGCAAAGGTAACGGAATGTACGAGAAGTCCACGCCGGCAGATGATGGATCCACGACTCTTTCTCGCTGTGGCTATCAATACGTCGGAGGCCAGGTGTTTCGTTGCGGTTCCCTGGATGCCTCCAAGTTGGTTTGTGGCCGGTAAGTTTCGCGCAAGCTGGAGAACGGAGTGGAAAAGTTCAAGGGCAGTGTATGCACCTTCTTGCTAAAGGGCTCTCAGACGGAAGCAGTGTCGGTAACTCTTGACGTCGATCGCTGCATCACTCTTGGAAGAGTTGCTGCCATCGAGACTGCCTTTGGCTCGAGCAATGCACAGAGTTCACCACCAGTTGTCCATCCTATCGAGCGCTTGAGCTTGCATCGAACGCTGCACGTCGAGGTGTGGTAACTCCAGCCATATTATGGGAAGTGCTGATGGGTCATGAAGTGGCCAAGGTTGCTGTCGGTCCTTGCCGTCATGGGACAAGGCCTGCCGAAGGCAGTGACCTCCATAGCATTGGAAAGCGATGTTCGGCCCTAAGGGCTTAGGGTGTGTCGTTTCGCGTTCTGAATTCAAGGCAAGTCACAGAACCTCAGGCTGGGCCTCTCTTCGAGGTGGGTGTCGCTGAGATGAACGGCTGGAGGCCCACAATGGAGGACACTTGCGGAGCCTCTCGCAAGAGCAGCTCTTCCACCACATTGCAAATTGCACCAGCAGAGACCAGAGCGAGAGGCATGGTCCTGAGCAAGCACAGCAAAGACCCTTCTCTTGCCACTTGTTGACGCCTATTACACATGACAGGGGAAGATATCCAAAGTCCTATTCGAAATATTTTTTAAGCATGGTCCGGGGCCCGTTTTTCCAAAACATTCCACAGTCTTGGAAAGCAGCTCCAGCCGTCCAGCAGAACTCACGCGAACATCTCCACCAGAGAGCAAGTGCTCGAAGAATCCCAACCGTGGCGTACACCGCTAACGTGGTATCACCTGGAGCGAGGAAGTGTCGGCGAGGGGGAGAACTGAAAATGGGCTGAAAACGAAAGGAGGGGCTCCGACGCCAGCACATACATCGCTGAGCAAGACGAGAGAAATTGAGGGAGGCTATCAGGCTATCGCTGTGCATGAAGTCTGCAGGATGCACACGTGTCCGTGATGTGCCCTGGCTCATTGTGCGACGCTGGTGTTCATCTGTTAGCGGCTAGCATTCAAGCTCTGCAGCAGTCAAGCGCGGCTTCGGTCTGTGATACCTTGAGCCAGCAAAGGCAGGATTCGTGGGGCGACTTGGCATCCGGAAGAGAGTTTCTAAGAGAAAACGAGCTAGAGACATAGACAGCGTCGTACGGTCGGCTGCGGGCACTTCCAATGTAAAGAGCGCAGCTACTATGTAGGCATTCCAAAGGTTTGACATCACTTCCGCAACATGTCAGCGCGAGGGGAGTGCCAAAGATCGTATCACCGAGCAAAAGGGAACGGCATAAAATCATGCTCAGTCCTGAACATTGGGTAGTCCCGGGGCATGAGGAACCAAACAGCAAAACAACACTCCACAACTAGCAAATGGATCGTTTATGAGCAGCAAGTTTTTCCACAAGCCCTCACAACCAAACAATAACTGTCGAACACACTCGCTGCCATCACTACGATGATCGAGGCGAAGCACAGGTAGCGATGCTTGAACACTTCTTGCCGAATGCTGCGCAACGCAGCTATCGGTGAGGGCAATCCGTATCTTGTCCAATCACCGCAGCTACCTGTATGAGTTGAAGCTCTTGCTGCACTGCATCATTGAGCATCTCGACACCACCCGAAGATCAGCCTATGTCTGAGAATACAGTCTTCGCGGCTTCGCGAGTCTTCGTGTAGATGGCTGGCATGTCATCATCCTCGATGGAGCCGACATCCTGCGAGAAGACATAGCAAGCCTCGCCGAAGGTCTGATCAGCAGACCTGATGCGATCTTTGTGATGGTGCTCGCCACCAGGCATCACCAGGCTTCAACCTTTGCCAATGATGCGCAGATGTCCACCACGCGCAATGCTGCGCAATGGCCGCTGTGCAGGCAAAGCACCGAGGAGAGCAGGTACTCGTGGAAGACACCGATTGTGTGGTACGAGGGAGCACGTCTCGGCAGGGCCATCAATGATGTTGCTCGGGACTACTGCGCAAGGGGCAGGCGATCTTCACGTGCAGCGTGTTGAGGCCGTTCGCGGTGTGGGCATGAGCTACTTCACGCCCTCTCACTTCTGATATTTCCTGGTGATTGTATTAAAAGTCGAGACGTTGGATGATGAATGGCTTGAAACCGCAATCCACTACGGCCACTACGGTGTCTGGAGCACCCGCAACGGTTTTGACTGCAAAAAGTTGCCCATGCGGCTCTTGACGGCAGCTGCATATCCCAGTCGAAGTGTTGGGGGTTTGCAAACAACAGGCAGGCAGGGCGATTCTTGTAGGTTGCTGCCAGCCTCGAAGTTTTCTGCCTACCACTCGTACGGAAGGGTTCGCTCAAGTTCTAGATAAAACTGGCGGCAGCACGCGACACGGGGTGAAGGAAGGAGCAGCTGGCAAGTGGCCAGCAGCCCAAGTACTGTACTGACTCGCTGGAAGACAGGGAGGGTATGCTGCGAGGTGTGGCAGATGCAATGAAAACTGAGTTTTTTCAGGCGTTTGTGTGCTTGTTTCGATCGATACTTTGGGCGGGCGGATTTGGTTTGGTCAATCGCGCCTTGCTACAGGCTCCAGACGGGGTGTGAGCAGCGGGGGGGGGGCAAGTCGGGGGAATTTCAGCGGCTCAGTGTCGCCCTCAACCTAACTTTTGCAGGGACCCGGATGCAACACTGTGTTGGCCGATATGACGGAACCTGAGGGAGGAGAAACAGACAGAGATGCCAGGTAGAAAAAACATGAAAAAACTAGAAGACAATTGGCCCGAAAGCATCATCAGCGAAGAGTGTGGGGCTATGTGATAGAATCCAGTGTATAGGATCGTAAAGTCACAGAATCAAAAGCACAGAGTCACAGAGTCAGAGTGTCACATACAGTCAAGAGTCATAGAGTCAATGAGTCATAAAGTCATAGAGTCACAGTGAGATAGCGTTATAGAGTCAGAGTGACATGGAGTCATTTATGTACCATGCAGTTGACTCGATGTAGTTCACTCTATGTGTGGGGACTCTTAATCGAGATCCCCGTAGCGTGAGGGCTCATAGCCTGACCTGGACCTCGAGAGGCACATACAGTCAAGAGTCATAGAGTCCATGAGTCATGAGTCATAAAGTCATAGAGTTACAGTGAGATAGCGTCATAGAGTCATAGTGAGATAGAGTCACAGAGTCATGGAGTCATCTATGTACCATGCACTTGACTCGATGTAGTTCACTCTATGTGTGGGAACGCTTGATCGAGATCCCCATAGCGTGAGGGCTCATACCCCGTATATTATCGATATATGCATCTGGCAATCCCTCTCAAGGGTTGCCAATTGCACCTCGCAGAGATGCAAGATCCTGCAATCGACCACGCCACTCCCTGTGGAGAGTTGCACGGCGGGAAGGTTACAAGTAGTAATTTGCCCACACGTTTCAACCCTGGACCACGCCAATCCATGCAGAGGGTTACACGCAGTGCCCAGAACATGCAACAGTACCTGTTGCACACGTGCCGCTTAGAACACTCGAGGAGGCTAATCCCTCTCAAGGATTGCGCGGGGCACCTAAAATGTGAGACTTTACCTAGCGTTTCAACGCTCGACCAAGCCAATCCCTGTGAAGGGTTGCGCGGGCACCGCAAAATGTGTAACTTCACCTCGCATTCGAACACTCGACAACGCCAATCTGTGTGAAAGGTTGCAAAATTCATCTCAATGCACATCAAAAATTGCAACTTTACCTCGCGTTCGAACACTCGACCACGCCAATCCCTGTGAAGGGTTGCAACATTCATTTCAATGCACATCAAAAAATGCAACTTTGCCTCGCGTTCGAACACTCGACCACGCCAATCCCTGTGAAGGGTTGCAAAATTCATTTCAATGCACATCAAAAAATGTAACTTTGCCTCGCGTTCGAACACTCGACCACGCCAATCCCTGTGAAGGGTTGCAAAATTCATTTCAATGCACATCAAAAAATGCAACTTTACCTAGCGTTCGTGCATTCGACCATGCCAATCCCTGTGAAGGGTTGCAAAATGCCGATCCCTGTGAGAGGTTGCAAAATGCAGCTCAATGCACCCAAACCCTGTGAAGGGTTGCGCGGGCACAGCAAAATGTGTAACTTTACCTCGCGTTTGAACGCCCGAGGAGGCGAATCCCTGTGAAGGGTTGCGCGGCGCCCGCAAAATGTGTAACTTTACCTCGCGTTTGAACGCCCGAGGAGGCGAATCTCTGTGAAGGGTTGCGCGGGAACCCTAAAATGTGTAACTTTACCTCGCGTTTGAACGCCCGAGGAGGCGAATCCCTGTGAAGGGTTGCGCGGGAACCCTAAAATGTGTAACTTTACCTAGCGTTTGGGCGCTCGAGGAGGCGAATCCCTGTGAAGGGTTGCGCGGGAACCCTAAAATGCGTAACTTTACCTAGCGTTTGGGCGCTCCAGGTGGCCAATCCCTGTGAAGGGTTGCGCCGCGCGCCTAAAATGTGTAACTTTACCCAGCGTTTGGGCGCTCGAGGTGGCCAATCCCTGTGAAGGGTTGCATTCCCGATGGACGACAACGGTGCCACCCTGGCTTTAGAAGAGAGATTTAGATACCGAGATGTAGAGAGTAAGTCATAGAGGCATAGAGAGTCAGTCATAGGGGCATAGAGTCAAGTAAGTAAGTAAGTAAGTAGATTCAAGTAAGTAAGTAAGTAAGTATAGAGTAGAGGCATAGAGTCAAGTAAGTAAGTAAGTAGAGTCAAGTAAGTAAGTAAGTAATAAGTAAGTAAGTAAGTATAGAGATAATAGAGTCAAGTAAGTAAGTAAAAGTAAGTAAGTAATAAGTAACTGAATAAGTTTCAAGTGCTATGAGCTTGAACAGAGATAGCATAGAGTCAACTATCAAGTGTAGAGTCATGTAAGGTATAGAGTCAAGTAAGTTGATTTTATGTCTGTCATCTATGTACTCATCTACCCGGCTCCGCACGGAAGAACCCTTCGCGATGCTTTCGGGAATATGGAGACTCCCAACCTGGTGACCTGGCTGGTTGCAGTTCAGGTTTCTTTGGCGTTTTCGATGGACACGGTGGCCAGCAGTGCTCCTCCTTCGTGGCGAAGCGACTAACGGAGGACCTTGCAGTATGAGCGGCAGACTTGTTTGATTGATTGCCACAGATATCCCTGAAGGCTTGGATACGAGGAATAAATGCATCGATGGGTCGCCAAAGCAGAGAACATTGACATCGGGTACTCAGTTGCCCGCGAGTTTTGGGGGTTGTTGCAGCAGTCCTCAGCCCCAACAAGTGCAGACCAGCCTCGACACCCTCGTGCATTTCCGAACCATGGAGTTGAGACGTAGGGTCTTAGAAAAGCCAAAACTATACAACTTCCGACACCACACACCGAAAGATTCTGAAGCATTACGACGGACTAGACGTATGCATACGTATGCGCAACTTGAGGAGATCAGATCGCAAGCGCTACCTGCAGATGATGAGGCGGTCAAGTCGCTGATGCTGCGAACGGGCCCTAGCATCAGCGAGTGCAGTCTTCGAGTGCCATTCCCATGTAGAATCTGCCGTACTACTATGCAGGCTCTCTTCTTGTGCACCTCCTCCGGTGTGTCGGGTGTGCAGGTGGTGATTTGTCGGGTCTTCTTTTATTGACGGGGGGCTCCAGGGTTGATCTCTACTTTTCGGACCGATTCGGTGACGCTGGGACTCCAGGCGAACCCAGGCCAGCACTGCGACCAACGGTCAACCTTGCTGTCTTCCATGGTAGGCAGAAACACAGCCAAAAAAAGATGTAGGTGAGTTCCAGGCAGCACGGTGTGTTTCAGCCGAGGAATAGACCAGGAGTTTCTGGACACGAAACAGGCCAGTTTTGCCCAGCAGAGCCCCGTTGTAGCCACCAGCATACAGACCACATGTTCGCCACTGGCCTCGTCTGATGTTTCGCTTCCTGACAGCCCAGCGGCTCAACCGGCACCTTCGCGTTTGTGGTGCCATCTGCCGAGCACGTCGCGCTCAGAGTCGGGAGCCGACGTGCAGTTTGCGAGCGTTGTGCAGCTGGAAATCATGTGTGAAATCAGGTTGCCCTCTGTTGCTGTGCATACTCCTCGAGTGGCTGCATGCTGAAGTAGGATACAGTGCATGCAAGTGTTTACAATTGGATGACGAGACGAAGCTGCTAATAAGAGACCAAGGCCTCGAACCAGCGTAAGAGATAGCAAAGCGGAGAGTGCACAGCGCAATGGAAAGAGAGTCTGTTCTTGTGACCGGGGCTTCTGGACGACTGGGAAGCCAGATTGTTACACGCCTCGTGGAAGGTGGCCTGTCTGTCGTGGCTACAGACCGAGTCAGCCCTGCGGATAAGGGCAAGCTCTGGGGCCCAAGGGCACATGAGGTCATTTTCGTCCAAGCAGATCTCTGCGATGCGGCTGCTATGAAGCAACTTGCTGCAAAAGTCACTTCGGTCGTCCATGTTGGTGCGATTCCGGGGCCTTCCGAACACCCGCCGCCGCCAGTCGATCCTGTGAAGAATCCGCCCATAGGACTTGAGAAGGTGACTGGTGTTGAACTGCTGCGACAAAACCTACTTGGAACCTGCATGCTGTTCGAGGCCATCGCCGCCTTACCTGCAAGCCGAAGGGTGGTGTTCTCTTCTTCCTTGTTTGCTATGGGTTGGTCTCACGAACCTGCTGCTTTCATGCCTGAGTTCCTGCCATTGGACGAATCGCACATGCCAGAGCCTCTTGAGCATTATGGCTTGAGCAAGTGCTTCTGCGAAGACTTTGCAGCGATGCTCCTCCGCGCTGCCCGAACTCCGAGTGTCGAAGATGGCAAAGCCGAAAACGGCCCGCCGTGCAAGAGGCAGAGGCAAAATAGCCTCTCTTTCGTGTCCCTACGTTTTTCCAACATCATCAAGGCCGAAAAGTGGGCTGACTTGCCTCTGAAGTTACCGCAGCATGCGGTGACACCTCTGATGTGGGCTTACTGTCACGAGCACGATGTCGTAGAAGCGCATATCAAAGCTTTGCTGCTGCCTTCGAGTGAATTGCCATCCAAGCACCCGGGCCGCAAAGTTCCAGCACAGACGACCGACGCAAGACCGGCGACCTGTGAGAAGCTTCTAGCACTCTTTCAGGAGCCCTCGGAGTGAACGTCTGAAGCTCAAGCCACATCTGCAGCAAAGGTGTGAGACGTTTCTTATTGTGGCCCCGGACACTCGCTATGATGTGCCTACCGACACTTGTCAGCCCCTAGTGCAAGTTGTGTTGCCTCGTGTGGAGCGCGCGAAAGCGCGGGCGGTACCAAGGTGGAGTTGATCAAGCACCATTTCAACAAGACTGGTAGTATGCTGCCCGGTCAGTCAAGCCTCTCCGGTTTCGCATCGATCGTCAGCAACAGGAAAGCAGAAAAGCTGCTGGGCTTGACTTTCAGATCCTTTCGATCACCGGGACTCGAACATGCTCTGGCAGATGAAGCGAGAAGTTTTCAAGCACCGGCATCTTTTCGTCTTCGAACGGGCGAAGCTGCGTCCGGACTGCGGCTTGTGTACAAGATGTACGGACAGCTGAACGCAGAGAAATCCAATTGCATCCTCCATCCCACCTCGTTCGATGCCACACACCCGGAGCTGGAGTTCAACATTGGACCCGGGAAGACGTTGGACACAAGTAAGTTTTGTGTTATCATCGTCAATCTTCTTGGCAATGGCCTTTCCACTTCACCTTGTTCCCATTTAGGTAAGGATCACGAGCAGTTCCCGCAGGGCGGAACAACAATGTGCGACAATGTCCGTCTGCAGGCACTTCTACTCGATTCACTTGGTGTGACGAGCCTGGCTCTCGTATATGGCTACTCTATGGGAGCAATGCAAGCCCTACACTGGGCAGCAATGTTCCCGAATCGAGTCAAACGAGTGGCGGCAGTTTGTGGCTCCGCTCAGCCAAGTGACTTCAACATAACTTTCCTTGATAGTTTGGAAGCAGCCTTACTAGCAGACAGCGACTGCAAGGTCGATGGTCGCCTGGGGATGAGATTGCATGGTTCGTGCCAGCGTGGTCTCAAAGCATTTGCACGTATTTATGCCGGCTGGGGCGTGTCGCGGGAGTTTTACAAACAGGAAATATGGCGGAAGACATCGAGGGATGGGCAGCCTTTTTCCAGCCGAGAGGATTTTGTGCGTCGTTCATATGAAGGAGGATTTGTTAATGCCAGCCCATTGAACCTCCTTGCACAAATACGGACATGGAGGCCTGTCTTTGCTTGCCTTGCACCGGTTTCACAGTTGTCGGTGATGTCGCAATTACTTAGCCATGTACATAAACCGTGCCAGCCAGCCAATCTGCCTTTATGACGAGCGACGGACAATCTGCGACTAGCAAGCCAACCGATATGTTGCAGCCAAGCTTAAGCAAGCCAAGCCACAGCCTGAGCCATTTATCTAAGACACCTTTGTATGCAAAGACAAGCACATGGAGAGAACATGGCCAAACAAGGTCGCACATCACAAGCCGAATCACAGCCGGCCGCAATTTGCCCCCTTTCTTCAGGTGTGGTAATGTATGCGAAGCTTATGGAATGCCACGCGGAATTTCGCTGAAAGAAGCTTTGGGACGCATCACAGCAAGGCCAGGTCCCGGGCGGCGGATTCGGTCCATGAGCCTGCCTAATACTCGTATCTGCGTGTTGACTTCGGTCCATGGACTTTTGCTGTCGCTGGCTAGGGTCGTGCTGATGCCATGCAGCACCGATGCATATTTCAGTGCAGCGGATATTGAGCCCTGGCGGCAGTGGCCTCTGCAGCTGCCGTGTTTAGCTTGCTTATGGGTAATCTGAGGAGCTGGAGGCCCAGATGATATCTAAATGTAGCTTTATGCCGATCAACTCTCTGTGGGGTCATCGCGCTGGTGATCCCCATCGCCCCGGACAGCAGGCGGGGGCGTTTGCTTCGTGAGGCATAGCCTCAGATCCCACTACGCCGTCGTGTAGCAGAGTTTCAGGTATCCTGTTTTCATAGAGTGCCATCAGTTTAGTGACGCACACACACACGCCTTTTAGGTGGACGCGGATTTTATCCGTCATCGAGTCTGGGCGCTGCTCGACGAGGCTGAGATGGACTAAGCCCTTGCGTTAGTTCTATCAGGCACGCAGCAGTGCAGAACAATTTCTGGCGGACTGGCCACAAGACGCTAGAAGGTACATAGATTGCTCAAGCCTTTTGCACGATTGCAGTCTGCAGAACTGCTCTGTGCGCTGATAAAACAAGTTGCTGGCGGTGTTGGCGTGAGTCTGTCTGCGTCTCCGTGTCGTGTCAGTTGCAGCTGTGGATAAAAAGTGGGATTGCGTGCAGTTCTGAAACACGTATTTCGCTTGGAACCTTAGAAGATGGTGCCGTGTGTCGCTGCACACCCATGGGCGCATACGTAAGTAGTTGAGTTGGCGCACGTGTTGTTTTTCCCTGTCGCTGTGGTGGTTTCGGTTTCGTTCTCTTTTCCACTCAATCTTTTCCTCGCTGCCCTTCTGTTTGTTCATTCCGAAAGAGATTCCTGCCTGCAAACATGCAGAGGACAGAAGTTCAAAAGGCAGTTTTGCAGGCAGCCTTCGAGGTGACTCCATTACCCGATGACGAGACAATGAAAGCATCACCTCTGCAGCATTCGTTGTCTCCGAGAGTCTTGTCTTGTCGCTCTATCCAGGCATTATTCAGCACAGCAAGTCCAATGACTTGCACTTGTGCCCTGAGACTCGTTTACATGGAGTGTAAGGTTGGCAACATCGGAGACAGTCGAGTCTTGTTGGGAAGAGCAGATGGTTCCATGGTGGAAGGCATGGTTTCAACTTTGCCTGTGTCTCGGTGTTCCAGCCAGTGGGGTTGCTGCTGCTAGAGGTCCTGGCACTGACGGTGGACTCACCACGGATCACAAGCCCGACAACAAGGTTTGCGACCGGACGGCCTCAAAACAGAGCACCACAATCTGGCACTCTTCCAAGCAGGTGGAAGAGGAGAGGATAGCCCGAACCGGCGGAACAGTCCTACGCCTTAGGGGTGGGATTTATGCTGCAAGCATGTCTTCACATGGCATGATACAAAGGTTCAGACCATAATGGGTGTCGCCCGCGTAAATGGCGATCTGGCAGTGAGCCGAGCCTTTGGCGATGCACAGCACAAGCAGACAGGTGGCCCGGCGCAGGACAAGTCACACTGCTAGGTTTTGTGGATGTGGATGTTGTCTCTTAGTTCTGGCACGCGACATAGTTTTTTGGCAGGAGGACCATCCCGTCTCCGTGCAGACCTCGGTCTGGCACAGCTTGCTTTTGCAATGCCTCTGTACCCAAGTACCAAGTTGCCCATCGGACCCTGCTTTAGGCTGAGCCTGAATTCACGACGCTGACTTGCGCCCCTTCTGACTTTTTGCTACTCGTATGCGAGCATGCCTCAGTGAGATTCCGGTATTGCCATCGTTGAACTGCTGCGCGATAGAATGCTCATGTGATTTTCAGTATATTTCAACCGTGAGCAAGGATGGCATCTCCGAGGGCAACTTTCCAAATAGAGAGGTTGCTGGAAGCTGAGGCGATCGCAGAGTTAGTTTTTATCAACCACACAAAGTGTCGAGGTTCGGCTAGCAGCGGAAGAGCTGCGGTCCAAAGATCCAGCGCAGGTAAGTGGGAACCATGCAGCGATTGTGAGATCCCTTAAATTGAGACTTCGTCTGAACTGTGTTGCACGGAGGCAGCGGCGGCTGTGTGCCGCAAAGCTCTCGACTCTGGTTCGATGGACCTCCGCCTGCAGCAGAAGCTTTGTTAGGCTTTGTCCTCCTGAAGCGATACTTTTGATGCGTTTGCGCCAGGCACACCCGACAACACTAAACTGAGTAGCTGCAGCTTTGATTCGTCATTGATGCTGATACTTCCTTGACTGGTCACCGCAACTCGGATCGGCTGCATTTCCCTCGCTGAAGGACAACCTCTCCTGCATGATTGTTCTGCTGCGACGAGGAGAACAGGCAGCAAAGGATGCAAAAAAGGACGGAGGAAACATGCATCCAAGCTACTCGCCCAATGCATTTTGCTGCCGGACTGCTTGGCTATCTGCTGCTGCTGCTGCTGCGCAAGACTGTGCGAAGTAATCTGCTTTCCGAGCTCCGGGAGCTGTGGCCGGGACCATTCAGCGAGCCGACCCATGGTGCCTTCAGGAAGGCACACGGCAACTCAGGTGAAGGCTTAAAAGCACTTTGGCACGCTGCCTGCGCTGAGTACAGGCATACGCGGCAATGGCAGCACGAGCTGGTACTACCATAGAAGCCGCAGTCGAGAGCTTAACTTTCTGGAGTCTGGAGAAGGTAAACCAGCCACATGCCTTTGTGCCGACTGTCCTGTGCACATTTATGGACTGGCTTCAAGGTGGAGCAGAGATACACCATGGCCTCGCGGCAAGCGAGGGAAATGAGCCTGAGTGCCAACAAGAACCGAGAGGACAATGGCATGCGCTGTTCAGCCTGCACCGCAAACAAGTCTTCCTACAGCCAGGTTCAGGACGCAGCAGGCGAGAAGGACAAAGAATCCGAGAACGGAGCGGAGGCCACGCCACTGGGTAGGATGTTTGCATTAAGAACCATCACTGAGTTGTCACTTTTGAGTCATTGGCTACGATGCTCTGGACCACGCGGAGGGGCCAGGAGCAGGATAGCCAGCCTCCCAGAACGAGCAAATGCACTGGCGCTCAATGCTTGAGCAGGACCCTGCCATGGCAGAACTACGAGCTGAGCTGATGCAGTTTGACTCTGGCCCCCCTGACACACTTGCTGAAGGAACCTCTGCTGCAACAACGAATCTGCACGCTCTCTCTGGCCCGGGTGCACGCTCAGCCTTGTAGGTTTGAGCTCTCCACGCCTCCCAAGCCGAGGCAGTGTGGAGCGAATCCAATGGTTCAAAGAGCGCGGGTCCTGGGTGCAGCAGGTTCAACCAGACGGCATGGCTTTGTGCCTCGTGCGCGTTGCGACACACTGTCACCGGTAGGAAATGGTGGAAATCAGGTGTGACGTACCGCGCCCGCAATGCAGAACAGGTCTGCAGCAATGGCAGTCTTTCGCGCTGCTCCCTTGCAGCTTTCAGTTCTTTTGTGCTAGAGGCTTCGCCGTAGCCACAGGTGAAACAGCTGCAGGGAACACGAGACGTGAGAGATGCTTGATCAGGGAGCGAACTCGAAGGTTTGACAGGTTGAAACTTCGAAGGTTTAAAGTTCGACAGTTTCAAGCTTTGAAGGTTTAGAAAGGTGCTGGAATTCGAGTTTGGGCACCTTGGCATGCGCAAGCGAGCGAGCCTCCCACTTGGAACTTTTCATCTTTAAATTCGTCATAAGTTCCCAAACTTTCGTACGTTCGAGTTCGACTCGCTGCTTCAAACCCCAGCTCCAAAGTTTAGCCATTGCCGCGTTCGAATGCCTCTCCAAGTATCGGAGTCTGAAAGTTTGAAGGTTCGAAAGTTCAAAAGGTTTGACAGGTTCGTAAGTTTTGAGCTTGAAAGTTCGACAGTTTCGAAGCTTTAAAGGTCGAAGTTCGAATTAGCGAAAGTTTGAAGTCTGCAATGCTGTTTTCAAGTTCAGTTCCCCACTGGTCACTGAGGTCGAGCGATTGACAGATTGAAAGCTTCAATCTTTGAACAGTTTGGACTTCGAAGTTTGTTGAGTTTGAGCCATGAGAGTTCGAGGTATTGAAAGTTTCAAAAGCTCAAATGGTTCAAACGCATCGAGTTCGAAAGTTCGACGGTCCGCCGAGTTCTGAGTTTGAGGTTCGAAATATTGAAAGCACGAAGGTATGAGCTACTGTGAAAGAAGGAAAGTTTTGAAGACCTCAGCTCGTCCTGTGATGCCGTTTAGCTCATGCCTTCAACTCAATCCCTCGTTTGACTGTGGCGCCTACTAGGCGAGTACGGTTGATGCCAGATCTTAAGCCCGGCCCCTCAGTTGGCGAGTGTTGCTAATCTCATATCTTATTCACATCCGTCCCCGTGAGGCGATGTCAGTCATTGTCTTTCCATGTCTTAAGCCCGCCCCGCCATCAGGCAGTGGCGGTGGATCCCATACCGTGAACACGCCCCTCATAAGGCGATGGCGGTTCAGCTCATATCTGAAATCCGACCGTTAGAAGATGGTGTTTGATGTTGAGAGCAACCTCAGAGAGATCTTAAGTCCTCCATCACGACTGGGAGCAACCTACGAGGAAACCACGAAGAGGCCAGTAAGCCTTCTCGCGATTCCCACAAAGAGCAGGGACAGTGGTTGTCTGGAGCTGAGAACCAGCTCGTGGATGGGATAAAGGAAGTTCTCAACAAGATCACCACCACGGACTATGCGACGTTCCAGGTGCTCACCGGCAAGCTTGAGAATTTGGCGAGTGATGCGCGTGCGCTTTGGCCCGCCGCCTCATGATGTGCGGCCAGCCCCTGAGGCATGAGTTGGCCCGCGCAATTCGAACATCCGGCAGGCTTTGCCTCAGGAGCTTGGCATGACTATCAGCCCCGATGGACGTAGCCTCAACATCCCCTTTAGGTGAGCTCGTGCTTCGCCAGGTTCTGGGTTAGGGCCTTGTGGCCTTGTGTGGGTTTCTCAAGGGGGCTTCGAGACTGTGATGCTTAATTCACTGCATGCCGCTTGCCGGACTGCACTCCCTTGAAACCCTGCCTGTGCTGACTCCTAGATCTGCTGATTGCAGGCAAGTTGCATGTCTCAAGCTGTTTCTTAACTTATCCGGGTCTTGGTATGTTGAATCACCGCTGAAGCTCAAACCTTCGATGTTTTCTACGATTCAAAATTCTTCAAAGTTTTCGCATTCTGAACTGTCGAACTCTGAATGTTTTTGAACGTTCGAACTCTCAAACTCCGTGCTTTTTCGAGCTTTCAATCTTTGGAAGCTTGACGAATTCACAATGTTCAATCTTCGAACCGTTCGAACTCCAAATCTTCGAAATTTTCCTAACTCTCGAAATTGCAATTTTCAGTCTTGGGCTTTTAAGAATTTCAAACTCCAACCCAGACTTTCAATCTCGAGCCAGGGAGGCGCCCGGTGGACCCACCTGGATCCTCCTCCTCCTCCTCCTCATCGTGGCACGGCACATGTCCCGTCCAAAGGTTCAAACTACAAACTCGCGCCTGTTCTCAAGCTCGAAACCCTCATACTTTCATTCGTCAAACGTTCATTCTCCTGAGTTTTCAGTTTTCCAACCTTCCCAATCTCGCTACCCGTTTCGTCCGTGAAAGCTTTCAATGAATCGGGTTCGAAAAACCCGATGCCCTACTCTTGACACCTACTGTATCCTTTATGAGGGAGGATTGTGATGTGGACGTTGCAGTCTTGAAAGCAGGGCATCGAGAGTGCATGCGTGAGCAGTGGCACAGGAGGGGAGTTCTCTCAGCAGATGCTGTTGCCATAGGACCATGGGAGGAGTCCTCAACAGAATGCAGCACTCTCTAACCAGCTAGGTACTAGACACCTTCGACTCTGAACGAAACTGTTTGTGAGATCGATGATATGTTCCACATGCGCACTGGTACCAAGGTGGCTTGACGGACAGAGCCTCAGCACTTCGGAACATCCGATTGTGCAAGCTTGTCGACATACCTGTGGCGAAAGCTATCATGAGGCATGAGAAACAGCTTGAGCATCGATTCGAAAGCAATTGTATGCTCCTTATGAGGCACGGATGTAGTTCCGGCTCTCGACCTTCAAAACATGACGTGGGCATCCCAGACGATGCTGGTGGACTTCAAACATTTGGCAAACATGTGACATGTTTCAACTTGCAGGGCTGCAAAGCAATCAGCGACCGAAAAGCCTGCAGGCGAGATGAGCTTCTGAACTTGGTCGAAGAAGATCCTGAGCTGTTAGCAGTGGCTCGGGCGCAGGTGCACTTTGCAAGAGTTTCTTTTGCCCCGGTATGGGAAACCAAGACGCCATCAGAATAGCATCATTCAGCAAACCCATAAGCCTACAAGGACTGGGGCGTGGCATTTGAACTTGGAGATGAGTGGTTGGGTCCGAGGGAATCGCAAACCTTTCAACCTGAAAAGTGGAAACGGCCCAGTGAATTCAATACTCGGAAGGAATGGAGAGTGAAGCTGCTCTAACACTTGAAGGCAGAAGCCGAAGTCACAGGTCGAAGAAGCGTGTGAGGGAGTAAATAGGAATGCTTGCCTGAACATCCTAGCGATTTCCGGACGGTTGAAGATGCTCTGAGTTCCAAGCCTCCGTAGCCCGACTAGCAGCCTGGCAAGACGTGCGATCGGCTGGGACACTCATGGGAAGTTTAGGTCAAGATGACAACAACTGAGCAGTCATTTTGTTTCGGCGCTTTCGGCCGGCAAGGTCAATTCGAAGCTCCCTCCAAGGAAGCCTTTTTCAAGCAAACCCCATCCCGAGTCAAGATGTGGATTCTCTCGAATGCTATCTGGTCTCGTGCATCCCATGAGTTACAGAACCACCGTCACGCAGTCCTACCTGTGACAACAGCATTCGCTAGTTGCCTTCTTCGCTCGTTGTCTGATCTGCCTAGAATTGCATGCCATTGTTGGTGCCAGGGTCTCGTTGATGAGCGTGCCATGCGAGTTGTGCGGGTGGTGGCTGCAGACGCACTGCGGCCCGCGGTCGAGGCGAAGAGCATGCAGAGTTGCAGTGCATATGGCATTGTGCGACACTGTGCCAGCGAATTTACAGAGTCTCCCACTCTGCAGCAAATCAATCAGACAACGAACGTCTCCTTCGTGCAAAGATGTACAGTTCTGCCAGGCACACAAGACCATCAACTGGGACGATCGCCTGTTGTCCATTTGCGAGCAGCGGGGTAAGGCACGTCTTGCAATGCTTATGGGACTATGCTGAGATGTCGCAATCGTTTCGAAAGGAATGCACGTCAAGAGTTGCCACCCCTGGCTCTTGCTCGATGCCTGCACCAGTCGCAGACAGCGAGAGCAGGTGCTGCAGGATGATCCGTCTGACAAGACAGCGCAGGCGGGCGGCAATGCTGGGCGTTGCAGTCTTCATGTGCCAGTTACTTGCAAGAAGTCTTGGCCTACCAACTTCTGGCTGCTCACTCGCCAACGTGTAAGGTCGTGTAAGTCTTGCGTTAGAAAGCAAGTCGGCTGTCGGCATTTGATGAGGTCAAGTTTCGGGGAAAGATCTGTGCCAGCGTGTGGCTGCCATGGGAATGTTTGGAAGACGAGTGGATGGATTTGCAAGACAACTCTTATCCACCTTCTCGACCTCGAACCGTGCAGGTGTCGTCCTCAGCATCTTCATGTCTGTCAGAGACACTTGTGTGTTGCTGCTGCTGCAGCTGTTGTAGAGCTTGACTTGTACGATCTCAGTTTGTCAACATGGCTTCGCAAGCTTCGAGAGCCAAAGTCATCACGCAGCGGGTGCAGGGCGGTGAGGAAGGGTTAGCGGGGCAGAGGGCAGGGCAGGGCACGATTGCATGTTGTATGTGGGGGCCTTTGGCTCACGTGGTTTGAAGTTTAAAAAGGCCCGCAGCAATCCGCGCTGCGTGCGACTGGTTTTGTGTGTGATCTTCACATGAAGAGCTACGTACAGCTTCACTTCAGGGTGTCACACTTGACTTGAAAGTCTCCATACAACTCCAAACCTGGGGTCCAATAGCGTCGAATGTTCCGGGCTTCTTCTTTTCGCTCAGCTTCGTCGGAGTGTCCAAACTCGTTGGGAAACGGTCGGAAAGGTTTAAACTGCACATGGGCAAGACATGTAGTAAACAATGGTGGATGTATGCAATGAATGCAGATCGGACACAGACCCCGCGGCGAAGAACCAAGTACAACCTGGGTGGCCTACGGTTTGCACGACCGCAGGTTCGTAGTGAGTGGCAATGAGCTGTTTTCCAGACACTGCTTGCCACAGCTGTAGGGGGGGGGGGGCTGTTGAGCACCCTGACCTTTCAGCGGGGTTTCGGGGCATGGGTCCTTGGGCTGGCAGCTCTCAGGTTGCCCCAGTAGATGTACTCCAGAAAGCTGTGGAAGACAACTCCTGGATCACATGGAAGGCTTGTGTTTATGGAAGCTCGGCACAAAATTTCATGCCTTGTTGCAGTTTCTGGCAGGCCGAAATGGCGTCATTGGCTGGGCAATTTGCAGTTGCCATCGAGGACACATGCATTCCCCAGAATGATGCTGGGCGAAATTATTGTTAAGTGAGCATGCAGCAGGACGAGCCTCAGTATGAGCTGGTAAAGGTTGACTTTGGTGGTGACAGCCTGAGCCAAACAAGCTTTGTTGTGCCTTGCTCATGCTTGCGAAGCAGAAGCAACCGCGGCTTTCATTGACGCTTGATTCCCAGGTATGTCTCGGTACCTGCCAAGCAGTGCTTTATTGGAAGCAGATGGCTGCGACCTTTCTGAGTTCGATGCTGTCAGCTTTCATTGATTGCTGATGATGGTGGAAGAGTGTCGTCTAGGAGTGGGGAGATCCTGCCCTTCGGTCGTGTTCAGGCCTGATGATTGAGGACTCTGAGGAGGAAGATGACGACGATGACAACGATTCAGGTTTTGATGATGAGGACAATCGTGCCAGTTGCACGATGCAGTTGCAGTCTTGTGTTGCAAGCCGATGCTCATGCTGTGTGCTGGTCCACTTGCTCAGCACGCCCACCCCCAACAAAAGGCAAGCGAGGTGCTACTGCCTAAGACTTCGCTCGCATGAGCTCTATGGGTAAGTATTCGCACCCAACGAAACACGACACAAGTATGCCAGCAGAATCAGCAGAGGACCGCAGATGCAGGAACAACCTCGTCGAGCGAATTTCGACAAGAAGCTTGAACGAATGAAACGAACAAGGCGTGTGCCTGCTTCAGCTCTTGCCTTCTGATTCTGGTAGGAATTGCGCTAAAAGGCGCCTACGGCACTGCGGTCACGAACCCGTACGTCAGGAAAGTGACGGCACCAACCGAAGAGCGACGGAGGGAGAGAACAGAAAAGAGATATTGTCATATGTCCACAAACCGAATGATTGGCAACCTGTCCGAAGATCGCGAACTGGCCGAGTAGCCTTCGAAGAGGGCGAGTGTACCCCATGGCTGGATACTTTCGTCTACACTCCTTGGCTGGATTATGTGGGTTTAGCTGGAATATCACGAGATGTTGTTGGACATTCACTTGGACAAATGGATTCTGTATGCTTTCCACCTTTCTCTTCTCTCGATGAACACTCGCGCGTTCAAAGCTTTTAAACCACATGGACTTCGAGCACACAGGCACAACCGAGCTAAGTACACCACGCTGTAGTTTGCGGCGAATGCGAGTTCTGACGCACGTGCATCATATCTATCAGTCGAAGCCCTCAATTTTGACAGTTGTCCGCGGATGGCTAGATGCTCAAGCTTTGCAAATTTCGGTTCCGAGATGTTCAGAGTGTGGCGCAAGCGATACAAAAGCAACTGTTTCCTGTTCGAGCAGATGGATTCCGTGGCTTCATTTCCAGGTCGTTGCTGTCGGAGTCTTCTGCTTGTGTGTTTGTCGCTCACCTCGCAGCAGGATTTAGTATGGCCAGGGGTTTTCATGTTTCTGTTGCATGAGTGCGGGCCATCCCAAGTCTAGTGAATCGCCGGTGCTAAACAGGATCAAAGCTTCAAGGAAGTTGCAACGTCAAAGGGGGACCCCTCCCTGGAATCTCAAAAGCGAAAGCCAGACGACGACTGATCCTTGGCCAAAATCAGCGCATAGCCTGTGACATGAGAAGAGATGCATTAATGGCGAGTTTCTTTTGGCTGGTGGTTGGCAGCTGGAGGTGATGATGGATCTCACAAGCGGCTTTTCTCGCATCGAGAGTCACTTACAAGACATACGGCAACGCTGTTTGCATGCATCGCCATTTGCCGAGCAGCTGGTGCATGCCGATGCCGCGCTGAGTTGATGCGAGCCAATCTAAGGCATCAGAAGTGCTGACCGGACAAACGGGTTTTGTTTGTCAACCATCCGCGGTCCGTAGGTGTGTACAGGGAAGTATGGTGTCCAACACTTGGCCCGCTTTTCATGCATGCCACCGAAAAGTAGGATCTTGTGCTGCTGCGAGTGAACCGGATGCACGGTGTACTTATACGCATGGACGCAGATCGTAGGGAACTGGTGACAGTCTGACACCGCTTCCGTATCTGCTTCAAGCTGGTAGAAGCCAGTATGCGGGCCAGTAACATGCTTTGGGCTCAGCTGCTCACGTAACACCGTCTGGCACATCATTTGTTTCGCATGGGGCACCCTGTCAAGAGGCTTTGCATACCGACAATTCGTGGATGTTCCCCGTGCAAGCGCATCCTGGACTGTCAGGCTGGCCCCGGTGAGCTCAACTGTTTATTACCAGCTGAACGTGCTGAAGGCCCGCCGATATTGCTACATTACTAAATGTTAGTCGACCGCATGCACGGCGTCTTACTGTTTGCTGAGTTATGTATGTTGCTGTTCAGCTCGATACCCGCACTGTCGACCGGTGGATTCCCTTTTGAACTATGATGTTTTTGGAAACGGCGAGTCATGCGACACCCATCTGCGATCCTTCAACAACAAGATGCGGCGATGTCACAGTGTCTTTCTCCGTTCACCACAGGGCCCAGTGGCATGTACGGAAGCTCCAGCATCTGTGACATGTTGGCATGCAAAACCATGACGAACCTGCAAACGCACCGAACAGGCACGTGGGAAAGCTGAAGGCGATGGAGGAGGAGGAGGAGACGGACTCTGAGGAAAGCTGCCGTGAGGATGGCAAGGGCGAGGCTGACGATGTGGCGACGAACGATGCGGCGACAAAGCGGGACGAGGCACTAGTTTTCCGCTTTGCCACAGCCTCTGGCCGCTCGGTGCAATCGGTGTCATACCCCCAGGATGGCGCGGACAACGAGGAAACGACTGCGCTGGGCTCGGGCTCAGCACAGGCGCCATTTGTCGTCAAGCTGTCGAGGCCGAGGAAGGCAAGCAGCCCAGAGATTCGGAAAGTTCAGCATCGCCAGAGGCTCGTGTCCCCGAACAAGAGGGCATGATCTTGGGGAGTCAGGAATAGTTGAAACCGTTCAGACAGGAGCTGCGGAATCTGGCATCGTCTTGTTGTTCCGATGGGGCTGCTTTGCTACGCCACGGCCTCGATTCCCACAAAGGAACGTGCATAGTCTGACAAAAGAGTCGGTTTTTCCTACAGTGCATCAAAAGCTGTCGAGGCAAAGGCGAACTTCAGGAAGCTGTGCGAAAGTTAACACGAGGGCAGGCACGGGCACTGCGTCTGGCAATTGGTACAGAAAAGGTGTTTTGGTGGTGGTTTGCCTGTCGCAAGAACTCCCAGGTGTGAGGGAAAACCACCGAAGAAACTGAATGGTGCAAAGGTAAAGGTGTAAAGGTCCTGATGTGCGTTTGGTACATAGAGAAGATGCGCATGGACGCATGCACTATTGCCCGTTGCATGTGGGTGGCGATGTGCAGGCTCTGCTGGAAAGAACCGAGCCGGCAAGCTTCAATCTCAGACTTTCCAATCTTCATCTTCAACGGTACTCCCTTCAAGTTGTGTGGCCAAAGAGCCTGTCATCTGACCTGTCTCTACTGGTGACATCCAGGGTGTTTTGCCTGGGCAGTTTCACAGCCATGCAGTGCCACACATCTATGCAGCACCCTTCAGGGATGTAGGACCAATGAAATTTCCTACTTCCGTTCTGCCATGTGCCGAAGGTGTGCTAGACGTCGAGCAAAAGGTTTTCGCAGCACTGCAGGCAGACATCGTCGTAGCCTGAGTGTGGGACGAGCCGATCACCTCTCTGCACGCAGCACATTCGGTTCTCTTCTAAGGCTGGCAACCTCGGCATATGCTACAGGACGGCAAGTTGCGGTGGACGGCTTTGTTTGTCAGTTGTGTGGCTGCATTTCGCGAGACATCTTGTCTTGAACCAGGAGATTAAAGGACTTTGGACCTGCAGTGGACCAGTTGTCGGCCTTGCAAATTTCAGCACCGGTGCGTGGGGGTCACTGCTCGCTGCCGCTTGCTGCCAGGCGGCTTGCCCTTCAGCATCACGAGGTCTTGGCTAAATACTCTTGATGTGTGTTCGATTGACACCGGGACAGGTACGCCTTCGCGACTGTGACAAGGCATGGAGAATTCAAGCCAGAAATGCAGCCTCTAGACAACAGCGGCTGACAGCCGTTGCGATGTGCGGAGGTTGATGTTGCAGACCTTAGAACGTTGGCAGGTTGCTCAAGTGAAACCCAGTCTCGTCTGCAAAAGAAGACGTGATATCGCCCTAGAAGAACATGGAGTGTTGTCCGAGGTGGCTGCGCATCTGAACCTCGCTTCTTGCCATATGGAATGCGAGGCGCAAGCGTTTTCAATGGTTGCACCTTCGTGGGACAGATCACCATGACAGATCGAAGACTTCAGCATGTGTCGCAGCAGGCTGCAGATGCTGCCCTCCAGCATGCCGCGACTGCGGTGTCGTCCTACGTTCGCCCGCTTTGTGATTCCTTGGCCCGGCCCAGCATAAGGCAAACATGAGTGGCCAAGTCTTGACTGCGTAGGGGCCTCGATTGCTAACGTTGTCGAGATGGTGTTGTTCATCCCATGTTGTACAGCTGCTGGGTATTGTTATTCAGGAGGTTATTCTAGCGGATAGTGTCCTCGAGGAACCGGGAGGCCAGTGGCGATGTGCCCGCAGGCCCCGAAGACCTTTCCACTCGAAGATGGTTCGAGTTTGCTGCTGGTGACGGCAGGTCCGGCTGAAAACGACTTTGCCATGTTGGCCGTGTCTTTTCACAAGGCATGATTAAGCAAGCCGAACTTGCGCTTTGATTGCCACTCAGCAAAGTCACTTGGCATACTCTGGTCGGCCAGCCTCACACACTGTGTCCAATTTCAATAGAGTCTTTGAGCCGTTTTGGCAGGTCGCAGAAGCCCATGAGGCTCTGAAGGACCGACCGACATTCGTGCAAGTTTTGCAGTGGAGCGAGTTGCCGCTTCTTCACGGATGTCGAAAATCAAACTGATGATGAGGGTGTGTCGATGTTTGTCGTGTCCATGGCTGAGGTCTGATACACTGACAGCTGTACAGTAAAACGCTGCAACCTTTGCGAAGCAATCCTTCGTGTGTTAAGATGACAGTGGTACACTTCCCAGGCAGTGTTAACTGCGACTGGTCCAGAGAAGCAGGTCAGGGATGGTCAAGCTTGAAGCGCCGGAACTGCGGTTGCAGACTCATGGCAGATCGGTCTGCTTGATAATCACCCAGTGCGTGGGCGGCAGGAATGGGGCAAAGCGATTTTTGCTCACACCCAAGCACGTGAGGCCGGAGCCAAACCTAGGCGCTTTGCGGGTCAATCAGTGGTCTGGTAGAATTTTCAATGCCTATGCATTGAGACTTAACCTTGCACTTGCGCAGGTCGTCCACAGAAGTCTGGGGTTGCATCCTCAGACATGCAGCCATTCCGTCTTAGCGTTCACAGAAACTCTCTGAATGCTCCAATGACTCTAGTTCTACTTATTAGACTGTCATTACTACTCATTAGACGTGGCAGGCCAACCCATCCATTGACGCAGTCGCTTGCACGATGCCGTCCTCACCTGTCTCGTCTCGGCCTCACGGAGTGACACATCCCTTGAAAGGGCGTTGCTTCGTTACCAGGTCCGTCTACAGGCAACAGGCCGGGCCAAAGTCCAAAGCGCGTGTCTCACATGGAGGGACCTGGGGGGAGCGACGTGAAGTGCATCCTGTGCCGTTGTGTCCTGCCAGGCTCCAGCAGTGTAGAATGTAGAAGATGTGGAACCGTTGCCTCGTTGCAGCTCGCACTGTCGCAAGCAGGCGACTTATGACGCTCTCTCCGGCCCAACAAGCCATTATTCAGACAGAGGAGAAGTATGGAGCGCACAACTATCATCCGCTTCCAGTTGTCCTGTCCCAGGGACGTGGTACAAAGCTTTGGGATGTAGATGGGAAAGAGTACTTCGACTTTCTTTCTGCATATTCGGCAGTAAACCAGGGCCACTGCCATCCAAAAATCATTGGAGCTTTGCAAGAACAGGCGCTGAAGCTGACCTTAACATCACGAGCATTTCACAATGATGCCTTGGGTGAGTACTGCAAGTTTGCGACGGAGTTCTTCGGTTTCGAGCGCTTGCTGCCAATGAACACAGGCGTAGAGGCCGGCGAGACTGCCATCAAGCTCGCTCGTCGATGGGGCTACGATGTGAAGAAGATTTCTTCAGGAAAAGCTCGAGTGGTTTTTGCAAACGGCAACTTTTGGGGTCGGACGATTGCAGCGATCAGTACATCAGATGACCCAAGTTCCACCGAAGGCTTCGGACCTTTCGTTCCAGGATTCACAAATGTTGCATATGACGACCCAGGGGCGCTCGAGGCTGAACTGCAAGCTCATGGAGACGAGGTTTGTGCATTTATGGTTGAGCCAATCCAGGGTGAAGCGGGGGTTGTTGTGCCGTCTGATGGATACCTACGACGAGTACGTGAGCTTTGTGACAAGCACAATGTGCTCCTCATCACGGATGAAGTGCAGACAGGACTTGGACGCTGTGGAACGCTTCTGGCTTGTGATCATGATGGCATCCGCCCCGACATCCTAGTCCTTGGCAAGGCACTCTCTGGTGGAGTTCTTCCCGCTTCTGCAGTGCTCACATCGCATGAGGTCATGCTAACAGTCCGTCCGGGAGAACATGGCAGCACCTACGGTGGAAATCCACTGGCTTGCAGAGTAGCCACCGCAGCATTGACCGTTCTCAAGGATGAAGCCTTGACCGAGAATGCGGCTGCACGTGGTGAGCAGCTCCGCGCAGGTTTGCGCAAGCTTTCGGAGGATGAAGGGTCGCCCATCAAACTCGTGCGCGGCCGAGGCTTGTTGAATGCAATTGTGATTGGTGGCTCGGACAAAGGCAACTACGGGGACGAGGGAATGGCATGGCAGCTTTGCGAGGAAATGGCCAAGAACGGTTTGCTTGCCAAACCAACCCATGGGACCATTATTCGCCTCGCTCCACCCTTGTGCATCACTGCCGTGGAGATCGATGAGTGTATTGCAATCATTGGACGGAGCCTCAAGTGCTTAAGTTGAGATTGGGTGAAAATCACCTCCTCTGCTTGTTTTGGTCCTTTGAAAGACCTCATCCGACCTGGAAAGCGGTGCTAGACTGCGAGGCTGTACTTGGGGCTCGGCCCTTTGGACGCGTGCAATGCTCGACTAAAATTGAGTGGCACACCGTCTTGGTACTCGCCCTGACGCAAGCCAGTTGTTGTGTTGCATTTACGACCGTTTGCCAGGCAGAATGAGTTTCTCGATGTTTATGCAGCCAGCATTGGCAGAAGCAGCTTGGTGTGAGTGTGCTGTAGGCTGGCACCATGCTACTGCAAGGAGAAATCAACACATGCAGTGCATCCGAGCTCAGGTACAGGCTGTCCGCTGCTGCGGCAGTGCGCTAAGATGTAGCACCGGACTTGACAATGAAGATCTTGCCTGCAACCTCTTCCAAGGCCTAACAAAGGCCAGAAGGTGTTGCCTAGTATCCCTCAAGGTTTTCTGGACACGTTCAGCATCGCGTCAGAGAAACGTTTTCCGGCAAACTGGGCCAGGTGCACGGGGCAAGCCGTTCGTGAGAACAACAGAAGCTTTGGGCTTCGAGCTGGTAGGCCCTTGCGGTTGCTGTGAATTTTGTTCCGTCTGTCTGTGGCCTTGTGGCCTTTGGAGGTTACCAGATGAATGCCACTTGTTTTCCAAGCTGGCGCCTTCCTCAGTTTCTGGAAGCCTTACTGGTCCGGGAAACCGCTGTCACGTGATGTGCTTGCATAATTTTCGCTGCTGGCCTGACCGTCTGTCAGAGCAATGTACTTGTAGGGCCCTACGCGTGCAGCACTTGCCGGATTTGTTTTGCCCGGGATTGCCATTCTGGGCATGCTGATACTTGTCGTGAGATGCACAGATAGGTGGCCTGCTTGTTGCGACAGCCACTTCGGCCTGTGGATTCGAGCATTTCGTTGCTGATCGATGAAATGTCTAGGGCGGTTCAGCAGTACAGTAGACCTGTCCGTGCGAAGGCCTCCAACCAATGCTAGCAACGAGGAGCAGGAGATGAGTTCATGGTCGTCGCGCTAGCGATGACAGATGACGTTGCTGGAATCCCGCGCGCAAGCCTTCCGTCAGGAGTGGTATGCCATGGCACGAGCTCGAAGACATGAAGCTCCACCGCTGCCAAAGCTGGCCATCAAGCAGGCTATGCCATTGGTGTAATTGCTGCACAGATATAACAATGCTTGGCTGTCTTCGGCTTCACCTTTGCGTCAGGAGCCCGTGGTTGACAACTTTCCAGTGATCCCACCTCCTAGCAGAGGTGCCTTGAGTCGGCGAAGCCGGAGGAGCTGAATCACCAGCTCTGCTGCTGCAGAACAACCGACGCTTCCAGTTTCACGGCTGTCTCCGTATGTTTGCGAAGTTCTGTCAGAAAGCCCACAATTCCGCAGCAAGCCAAGTTTTCCCAGCCTTACATTGTGCAAACAATCGAATGCGGCCATCCAAGTCGAAAAGTCGAGATACTTGTTGGCACCCGTGAAAAAGGGAAAGTGGGGAGTGGACAGGTCAGAAATGTGCCCAGTTGCCGTCCTAATCGGCATGTGCCACTGCTATGATTCGAACGGGTACGGGCCGTGGTCTTGGTCCATACATCAGCTGTTTATTCATGTTAGGTGCTGAAAGGAACTCTTGTTCCCTCGATGGCATCTGCAGACACGGTCCAGCAAGCCTTGGACAAGTTGGCCGAGACGTCGCGGCCTTACAGAGTCGTCTACCATGCAAGGGTCACCGTAAGAATCACGTTGCGTATAGCACATTCCGCAGGTTTCAAAATGAGGACAAAGCTGCCGACCTTGCGAAGCTGACGCGCCACGCCAGCCTCCTAGTGCGAGGCTGCGACGCTTGCATCCCCGCAGCCCGCCCTTGCGATTGCTGACGTAAGGCGGTTTCTCTGCTCAAAAATGCAGATACACGAGCCAGCGGAGCTTTTGTCTCAGAACCGGTTCCCATTTGGCACGCGCAGTGATTTTTGTGCTTGTCTGCACCAGGTCGAAGCAGTTATCCAGCTGCAGGATCAGCTGCACATTGCACGCCGACTGGGGAGCCATGGTCTGGGTTTCGGGTGGCGGCATCGTGCCACAGGACGCGCAGAGTTCAGAGTCTTCCTGCGGGAGTCTGCGGGAGACTGTAAGAACTTGTAAGTTTGTAAGACTTCGGGCGCAGCTGCAGGCAAGCGGTCTCCAGGAAGCTTGCAAAGTTGTACTAGCACAGATGTGCGAGTCTATCTACTAAGGAATTACGTTCAGGAGGCGAACTTGGTGGAAGCAATTGCCGGACGAATGCGAACGGATGACGCATACGGCTTGGAGTCTTCGGTGCCGATGGTGCAGGCCGAGCAGTCTGATGAGATGAAAGCCCTCATCAAGCAGATGCAGACACTGGATTGCATTGCTTGCTCCATCTTATCAGAGTCTTATCATGCCTGTTTCAGCATCGCACCAAAATGGTGTCGCTTCCTTTGTGGTCGCATGATGTCGCATGAACGAATTATTCTGGGGGCTGCACCGGCGGGCAGCGCCGGCAGCAGGCAGGACTAAGCTGAAGCAGGTTAAATCTAGACACAGACATCTTGGCAGCCCCAGCCCCCCGTTGCCCTCAGCCTCCCCCCCTGCGCATCCCTACGCCCTATGCCTATGCTGATGATGCGCCTGACCCTGCCCCTCGATTCCACAACAGGCACGGCATCGGCCCGCTCGCCACATAGGCAGCTGCACGCGTTGCGGGGGCTCATGATGCTCGCCCGATGCTCTCTCGCCTGCACCCCACAGCCGCGAAAAAACGCACGTTTCCCACGTCAGCCTCCGGGCGAGGTTCTGCGCGGCCCAGCAAAAACACAGGTCCGATGATGCAGGGTCGACGGCCGTGGGCGCTCGCCTGTTTCGTCAACGCCTCAGGCGGTGCAAAGCTTGCAAGCCGTGCTTGACATATAAAAAAGGGTGGCCGACAGTGCCGCCAACCCCCCTTCATCAGACATGCTTTTTCTCCGGGCTCGCCCAGAACAGAGCCTTGACCAAGCGTCATGACACTTGGAAACTGTGCGGCGGCTTGCGGCGGCAAATGAGGTGCAGCATGGTGCGGGCCGACGTCGTGCATGTGCTGGAGGCGCCGGTGGCGCTGCAGGGGCGCGCATCCTGAGCGCCCGTCCCGCGGCACGCCGGGGCCTGCCATGCATCATGAGCATCAGATGCCGGCTTGCTCCGTATCTCCGGGCTACTGCGCCAGGGAAGCCGAGCTACGTCCAGGGGCCAGAGCGGGCCAGATGCCCCAATACCAACCTGGAAGAGCGCAAGACGCGGCAAAACGAGAAAACGAAGCTCTGATGATGTGCACCGGGGGTGTGTGTGCGTGGCCGCAAATTGTATTGCCTCCCAGCTTCTCTCCCATCCTGATCACCGTCCACCGCAACGGAACAACGCAGATCCGATGAAGCAGGGCTGGCCGCCCGTGTTGCTAAAGCAAGGCTTGCAAGCTATGTACCGCCTGAGGCGTTGACGAGCCAGCGGAAACTCTGCTCCATCTGTGAATGGTGCTGTGAATGCGATTGAGGCAGGGCAGAGAAGGGAGGGTGAAGAGGGGGTGGTGGCGCGAGGGGAGGTTGTGTCGGAGCGGGTTGGGCTTATATAGGTGTGGTGGGAGGGCAGCGTATGTGCATAGTTTGGAATGAGCAGGGAATGGGAGTGAGGGCAGAAGAGAGAGGGCGGAGGGCGCCGGGGGTGGACAGTGGGTCGAGGCCAGAGGGGCGGATTGGCGGACATAGTGTGTGATGGCGGGGGTTGAAGACAAGCCTCAGGTGACGGGTGTTACCACCCTATAAACCCGAGCCCCGGTCTGCAGACAGCCGGGGCACAGCTGCACAGTCTTGTCGCCCGTCGCCGACGTGTAGTCAGCGTTAATCGTTCATGAGCGCAAGAGGTCAGCAAGTATCACAGCTCACATGTCTCGCGCTCAGGGAAGCGGACTTGAAGTCCCGACCCTACGAGTTTCTGAATACAGCTGATTCAGAAGAGATGACCGTAAACATCTCTGTCCCGGCTGACACGCAGATGAAAGCCGCTTCGCATGCACAGAGGATGTTTCGGCATTGCGCACTGGTCGTTATTAGCGGTTATTAGCGACTGGAAATCTCGAGATCCGACTCACACTGCTCCTTCCGCAAGCAAGGATATCTCTGTGAAGCTTAGTGCTAAAACGATCCGGGTTGAGATCAAGGGGCACGAGATGCAGCCTTGTGTTATTGACGGATCTTTTTTCCAATCCGTGGACCCAGCCGGCTGCGATCATCATCTCGAAGGCTCTGGTGCCAAGAGAGCGGGGCTCTAAGTCCTTGTGCGATCCAGTTTGTTGGCGATGAAGATTTAGTTGTATTCGAGTTGCTCTTCCAAGATGCTGGTCATTGACCTCGAGAAGAAGCAGAACGGATTGAAGTGGCCTGACCTTCTGGGATATGGTGCAACGTAGACCTGCTATGCTTCACCGCGGAGTTCACACAGATGGTACCAAGAAACATGCACAAAGGCTGCAGGTGGAAAAAGGTGCAAAAACTGAGCAATTGGCACTGCGAGCCTTGAGTAGCAACTGCCTGAATGTGAATTTTGCCGCCTTCGCACCGGCCGGCCGAGGAATCATTTGCCTGCAGCCTGCTTTTGTTTATTTGGATTTGAGGGACATGCTTGAGCAATGGCAAAACTTTTCGTCGAGCTTCACACTGCCAAAGCTCCGGGACTTCTTCGAACAGGAGATCATCTCGACTCAAACGCCGGGTGCGCCTGGTGATGCAGTTGCATCTCCGTCACCCTCCCCTCTCCGCACCCAAGACGATTACGGTCGGCCTGTGCTTGGAGAGGAGCCATATACAACGATTCAGGATAGAACGGACAGGAGCTCAGAGGCTCCAAGAGACGAAAGCCATGCGGGGGCATTCTCCAGCCTACTCTCTGAAGCTACACTCGAAATTGGAGCTCCTGGCCAGAAGCACGAGTCCAGTGCGCTTGGAGAGCTTGAAGAGAAGACACGTCAGAGCCACCGTCCGGTGTACATGCCAGACATGCGAATGGATGAGGAGGACGCAGAAGAGCATGACGCAAGCACACCGTTCCCTGCAGCTGCCGGCACGGGCGCGGAGGAGGAAATCGCTGAGCAGTCGTCAGATCTTTTGAATCTGCAGGTTGCAACAACTGAAATCCCGCACTGGCTGCAGATGTCGAGCGCGGGACTTGTCTCTCAATGGGCGCCGTTTTCTTCATATGCAGCTTCCGACACGAATCTAATTGTTAGACCACCTCCAATGCCTGAAGAAGAGTGCCTTGCCCTCCTACCACCCGAAGCTACGCCGGAAGGGTTTCGGGTGCTCTCCGTGAAACATCAGGAGTCTCTCAGTCGTGGTGCAATTTCTCATGGCAAATGCTTTTATTTTGATGCTGCTGCTTTTCCGTCCTATGAGTTCACCCCACACCCGTGTTTTGTCGAGCAGTGGCGTGGAGGTTTGCTTCTCTGGAGCGGAGCGGTCAGCCTGAGTTTAGGCACGTTAGGAGCGGTCGATTTGCCACCACTGACACTGCCGGCATTTGGGCGAAAAGAGCCTCGAAGCTTATCCCAACTCGGAGATTTCGAAGTTGATGACATCATTTTCGTGCTTGGCTTTCACAAGGACTTTGCGGTCTCTGTTGGCCGCCACATGGGCTTTTCAGAGAACCTTTTCGGATACCAGAGCTATTGCATGGGAAAGAGAGCTTCGCCACGACAGGATCTAGATACCTTCAGAAAAAGCGCGAAGTACATTGACGAGCTAGGAGACTTGGGGAAGCATATGCAAATCAATGTGGAGGTTGATGAGAAGGAACTTGTCGCGATCCGTGGGACGACTGAGTCGAGGGCCAACATGGGTGCAATGCTTGAACCTTCTGCCCATGTTGAAGACACCACAAGCGTGGCAGAGCTGGACAGAGAGAACAGCTTGGTGATGGCAGGTGTGGAGGTAGCCGAGGAAGGAGCTATCCCCCACAATGTGCGTTCCAGCACTTCCAGCGATGCATGGAATGCGAGGCGCCAAGCGATGCTGAACGCCAGACCAAGGCATGCGCCTGATCGCGAAGCAACGCTTTGACCATGCCCTCCTTCAGATTCTGTGGGCTCTGAGTTTGTTTCACGCTCGCAGGCTTTAGGGCTCTGCTCGGCTAGCGGCCACCAAGTGGCATGCTAGTCAACGTGACGTCCATCTGCCACGAGCCAAGAGCAGTTGCAATCATTCGCACGCATTCGCACGCCTATGCATGCTTGTTCGTAGGGGTGTGGGCTGAGGGAATCGCATCGCATGATGTGTGGCAGTAGGCGCGGCGGCAGCCATCGGCTTCAAGTGTGTAGACATCAAGCGGAGTAGTAGCCCCCGAGGCGCGCAGCTCCCACCAAATGGATGATGAGCCAGAGGTGACCCAAGAGGGTGATGTGGGAGGCAGCGGCGGTCGGGCCCCTCGCCCACGTGGTCCGGTCACGGGAGGTTGGGGTTTCGATGACGACACTGGAGGACCGCGGATGAGCGCAGAGCCTCCATCACCTCAGCGTGGCCATAAGGGCCATTTTGAGGAGGACGACGATGCAGTTCCAACAATTCCAGATCTTGAAGAGGAAGCAGAGGAAGACATCACGCGACAAGTTGCAGCACCTCCGATTGCGGCTCCCTCGTTGGCCGCTCCTGTCAGGACGGTCCGTGAGCTGGATGGTGCACTGATCAGCCGCGGCACGCAGCTGCCGACAACCCCTGAAGAGGGCGTCGACCTTGCCCCGTTGATGCAGTGCCTGTGCTCAGATCGCCAGGTGTTTGAACAGGACAGTACCTGGGACCATGAGCTGATCTTCCAAGAAGTCGCCAGCGCCATTAATCAGGACTTGCTGACGGTGGAGGAGGGTGACGTGGAAGAAAGTGAAACTCTGGGCCGCTGATCAGCCAATTCACGTGTATGCTGGACTGGGAAGAACCTGTAAAGTCTTGACTTCCTGATTGAACCGCCGCACTAGATAAAAAGTGAACCTGCAACTTCCATTGTCGTGTTGAGTCCCGGTGCCGTTTATGCAAAGAGCCAGTTGAGCTGTTTCAACACAGTGCTGGCGCAGTCGGCATGGGCTCCACGCATGGGTCACTTATGGTCGCTCAAAGCACAGGCATGGAAGTCTACCATCGCAGACGAGCTCAAGTAGACTAAACAAGTATGACAGTAGGCTGCTGTGTTAGGTGTTTGTCTTCAGCGGACTGTGTTCATTTGGCTCTGGTTACATCTGCCTGTCACCGATGACATCCGTAGCTCGCCAGCGGAGCTATGAGAGAGTGCGCCTTTCCTGGGAAGCTGTGAAGAACGACGAGCAGGTGATCTCATTGGCTGACGTGGTGGTGATCGACCGCGCAAAGTATGCTGGCAACGTTGGTGAACACCTCAGTTTCTTTAAACTTACTTATGCTTTAGCTGGTGGGAAACTTTCAAGTTGCGCAGGCCCGCCTTAACATTTTGGGCTTGCCGCATGTGAGCTCGGCAACCAGAGACTGCATGTGCGGGTGTTTGCAGGGGGTGGGAGGGATGGTCGGACCTTTACTCGCCTGTGACCGTGGAACCGGAGACTGGGAGAACCAGAGTGTTTTGCCTATAATCGCAGCAACAACGGGGCCAAGGCCATCCAAGACCTCACCCGCTTCGAGCCCCCCTTTCGGCTTGGAGTTTCAACGAATTGCAGTTTGTACATGTTTGCTGATGTCAACTCGAAGTCGGCCAACTCCGGCTCGACAGTCGATTCATTCCGAGTCGATTTTTGAATCGGTTCCGGTGCTGGATCAGTTATGAGATCCAAATCAAAGCAAGATGCAGTAAGACCATTTCCAAATTGCAATCCCACCACCTGCCGACCGTAACGGGCTACAGGCTACGGCAATTCGTGCCAGCATGTGAAGGCACAAGTCGCGTTTCGGTTGACTGAGTTTATTCCTCTCACAAGTTATGAAGCGTTGTGAAGCTACAAGCTGCATGGTGAAGGAGAGGCTGGGAGGGTGATGGCCGGGGGAGCCGCTGCACGCAGAGGCGATTGCTGCCCAAAGCTGAACGGATTTCGTTTGCCGCTGGGGCAAGCGGCAAAACAATTATGATGTGGGTATGTCTGGCGACATGTATGGATTTGGCAGGTAGAGTTTGAGAAATCACACGGCAACCAGCCCAGAACATCCTCGAACAATGGCCGAGGAGAGAGGTGAAATGTAAATCTGTTGTGCATGTTGGTGCAGGGTGGGAAGAAGATATGCATGATCGTGCAGCCATGCACGTGCAGCAAGTCTGTGTGCGTGCTGCGTTTAATCTGCACACAAATGCCCCCAACCCCTGAGGTTCAATCTTGCGGCACATGCCCATACTGGGAGGTGCTCAGATGCTGTTTTTGGCAAACAGCGCGCACCAACCATCGTCTCCGTATCCGCCATACCCTCGCAGCTTCATCAAGGAGGTGATGCGGGTGTCAATGCTACAGCATTATCGTGTGCCGCAGCTGCAGACATGTATCAGAGCAGTTTTCGCTTCAACCCTGAAGACTATGCTGTAATTAACATCATATGGGTGTGTGTGTGTGTGGCTGGGCACTGCTCAGTACAACGATTAGGACATAGTTTTCTTCAACAGGTGCGTGTCGTAATCTTCGGCTGGAGCAGAAGGGTTGAAACATCCGAGAATGGTGGTTCTCAACACTGGACCTCCAAGCCTTGCTGTGGACAGGCGTTGGGAAACTCAAGTCCGATCCTTGAGTCGTTCCTTACGACATAGAGAACCTGTTGGGCTTTGGCCGTGAATGGGGATGCGGGGCCATGCATGTCCGCTTTGGGGCCGGGCTCCGGACGAGAATGAGGGTACAATGTTGCCAAATCGTGGGCTCCAACATTCCTTTTTGCCTCCCCAAAACAAGGTCATAATTGTCAGAACTCAAGACAGTAGAACGCTCTTCACGAATCACGGGCTCTGCGTGATCCTGGGAGCTTGAAGAAATAATCTTGCGACCAAGCGCAAAATGGACTGCTTTGCAGATGCGTGCTGTGCGACTGTCTGCACCCTTAACCTCAGAAGTTGACGCAGGAAGGCCCAGGCATCTTTGCGAAGCTACTGTCACGTTTCGGAGCCAAAGAGAGGTGTCAGATCCATGAACAGTAACAGAAGTGCTTGTCCTTCTGTATTGTTTGGATGTCTGAGGTTTTCAGCTGGTTTTTGCGCCCCTGCCTGCTGCAGGAGTTTGAAGGAAAGCTTTGCCTGTTGGACGGAGGACGTGATGCAGTATTTGAGTTGCTGGCGATTCTGAAGTCCAAAGGCTTCGTGCTGATGATCTTGGAAAATGTTGAAGCTTTTCAGGAGATGTCAACTGATGAGTAGTCGTGCATCTTGCCGCATGAGGGGAACAGATAGCAGATAGAAGAAAGCGCACTTAGCCAACCCTTGCAGGAGATCCCAGAGGCTGGTCGAGAGGCTTTTGGGTATTCTTCCATCTATGATAAGACCTCTGCATTAAGGGACCTGAGATCTCCCATTGCTTATATATTTGGCGGAGAATCTGGTCCGCCCTTGGCGGAATTATTTCAGCTCTGTGATGTCGGAGGCTTCATCCCCAGCTCTTCCCGAAGTGAGTTTGACTTTTCTGATCCTTGCGAGATTTGCGAGCCAGAAGATGAAGCTGTACCTTGGCAGAGAACGCACTCATGCAACCTGAGCATTGCCGCCTGCATTGTACTGAGCGAGCGGCACCGATTATTTTTGGCCAAGGCTCAACAGCCCAAAGATATCTTAAACCCATCCCAGGAACGCACCAGGCCTACAATAGGCTGTTTCAAACTGCTTGCTATCACCGTGGGGTCGCGATTGGCTCAGTATTGTGCCAGTACAAATGACAATATGTTGATTGAATCGACATGATCTTACGAACGAAAAGATAAAAGAAAAGACTTTGGTGAATAATCAGGGTACTGGATGATTCCAAGTATTTGTCTTATATATAGAGATATGATACTGCAGCTAGTATATAATCTTTGATGCTATCAGATACGTTATTCAGTTTCAAACCGATACTATACAAAAGTAGGTAAGGTTCCAAAACGATATAGATGGATTCAACCCCAATATTTTTTTATCTTTCTCAATCAAGCGAAACCGGCGAACTATTATGGATGTGTTCGCGTATTTTGCTGGAGGGGCTTTTCAAAAAACAGGTTAATAAAATTCAGGTAATCTGGTTCTCTTGATGGCAGGCACTGCGATTTAATAGAGCATACTTTTTAGAAATGAGTACTTGCCAATTTTCAAGAATATTTCGGATTCCGGTAGTTGCATGAAATAAGAGCACAAAGCGCAACATTATGGAAGGCAGCTAATTTGCGCTCTTTTTTGTTATCTCTTCCTACTTCTACCTGGAAAGATTTCAGTATTACATTTTTAAGTATGTTACATTCCGCGATTAGGCTTAGGATTTAGATTACTTTTCTCTTCTTTTCTATGCTCTACCGATGTCTTTTCATCGCAATATGTGCTTTTATCGATATATGAAGTTCTATGGATAAAACTCCAAGAACCCTTATTCTTCTGAATATTTGTTTTGTATATGAACTTGCTTATTTTTCATAGTGATTTCAAACGTATTGTTTTTCGTTCTAATTTGTATTTGATATCTGTGAAAATTTCAACGAAATCCGAAAAAGAGCTGATCTGATGAATGAAGAAAAACCTAAGATATATCTATATCTTTTCAACTCTAAATACAAATATATTATGGCAAACATTCTATTAATTCAAACAAGCAAAGGACCGGATAACCCCACATGAGTATATCTAAAACGAGTTGATGATCCCTCTAGAGCCTTCCAGAGGAGTGTGTGTGTGTGTGGTGTTGAGTGTGCAGTGCGCGTGTTGTGTTGTGTGTGTGTGTGTGCTGTGCTGTCTGGTGATGTGTGTTGTGTGCTGTGAAGTGTGTGTTTTTGTGTGTTGTCGGCGTTGTGTGTGTTGAGTGCGTTCTGTGTGTTGTGTGTGTGTGTTGTGTGTTGTGTGTTGTGTGTTGTGTGCTGTGTGCTGTGTGCTGTGTGTTGTGTGTTGTGTGTTGTGTGTTGTGTGTTGTGTGTGTTGTTTGTAGCTTGTGTGTTGTCTGTATCGTGCGTGTGGTGTGCGTGGTGTATGCTGTGCTTTTGTGTGTTTGTCTGTTGTGTGTTGTGTGTGTTGTGTGTATCTTGTGTGTTGTATATCTTGTGTATTGTATGTGTGGTGTGCGTTGTGTGCGTTGTCTGTATCTTTGGTGTTGTCTATGTCGTGCGTGTGGTGTGCGTGGTGTGGGTTGTGCGTGTGTGTTGTCTGTCGTGAGTGCGGAGAGTATGGTCTGGTATTTATACGCATTTATATTATATTATATGGGCTATAGATTTTATTATTCATATTTGAACGGACTCTTAATGAATTTTATAGAGAATTAGTAATTTCGGGGAAGAGAATAAAGATATTTTCTATTTCTCAGAATCTGCTAGAGTTAAGATGAAAATATTCTAAAATAGAGAATATATTGGATATATATATATATATATATTTCTTATATATGAATATCATATAGGATATAGATATCTTTATTAGATCTTAGTAAGATTTTTGATAGAGGAATATTCGTATTTATTATGCTTTATCATTTTTCTAAAAGATCATAGGGATTATCATGAATATTCTCTTTGGAGAGCTTTTCATATTAGAATTTATTGGCAACAACCTTAGGAGGTGTGGGGGCTCCCAAGCGAAGGCTAATCTGGATCCGTTTTTGTAGTCATTACCCGTGCCATATAGAGATTTAGGACTGATTCGATCAGGGATTTATTGTGATTCCAGCGGGTGGGGCTCAGGACCATCCTCAGATGGAAAAATGAGCCTTCGTTCTTATCCATGATATTTGCTTGCCAACTCCGATTGGGATCCTAATGATGCTCCTTGCCTGCTTCCTCGCTGGCTCGTTCGTCCGTTTATCCAAATCGGCTGCTGGGGAACCAAACGTATCTTATTGTGCATAGATATTAAGATTATTTGTTGCGTCTCCGCAATATCCGAATTCTATTGATTTCAAAAGCAGTCGAGGCCCTTGAACTTTTATATCTTTGTGATCTAAGCACGTCCCTCTCAAGTTTGTCCTGAATCTGCAACTGTCTTGATTGATCTTTCTTATAGATTCTCGGGGCCCTAGCTTCGTTGATGCGCCAATGACGGGTCTTTTGCAATTCTTCGTTGCTATTCTCTTCGGTTGCGTGGCTGCAGGTCCCTGCAAGCGACCTAGCAGCCAACCGGAAGCTTTACATACTTAGTTTCAGAGCCCGGTTCGTCGACTACGGCATCTATCTGCAACCTTCAATGCTACGGACTTGCGTGGTCTAGTGCGCTTAGATGCAGAAGATGCTGCTATGTCGGTTGGGAACCGCTTTCCAGCCCAAGCGAGCGCGGCAAGTGGTAGGACTGATATTCGATCTTGCCGGCAGCGTGTTGCTTTGCATTGCGCTACTGCAGACGCAAGGAGCTCTGCTAGAATATACTAGTTGCAAGTTCGCCGCTCATACGCATTATATCCATGCTGAATTCATCTGGATACTCTAATACAGCCACTGGAGCCGGGAAGTGAATATGCGACGCGGGGTGCTTCTTCAAGCTGCGCGAAATTGGAAGGCCGATTAGCCATCTACGACGCGTGACCGTTTGCACCAGATCGAAGGCCGGCGCCCCGGTCCAACTGCTATTTCAGTTTAGCGCGGGCACGCTAACCACCGACAGTACTGCAGCGACAACCTCAATTACATCCTCGCTGGGTTCACCGATAACATAAAAGCGAAGCAATCACGGAATACCCAAAGAGTCGACTCTCCGCCTCACGCCTTACAGCCCAGGTCCCGAAAAAGCCTGCCACTTGCAAATACAAAACCGCAGGCCGAACATGGCGTGATCCACATCTTCGGCGAGTGAGCTTTTAATATTCCGATCCTGTGGCATCTGAGACGATTCACGCAATTGAAGCACTAAGCTTTTTGACAGGGCCGTGCACAATCTCGCATATGTCGAGTTCCTAATCCCACCTTCGTATTGATGATAGGCACTCGCAAGCGATTGCTCCTCAAAACAAATAGCCAGGAATATCCTACCTCTCACGTGAGCACCACGTCCTGCCTCGCACAGAAGATCAGCAAGCACTTGTGATCTTATCAGTCTCACATAGACGCGGCGAATTCTCTTGTAACAGGCGCTCTTGCTCCACACAGAAAGAATGAAACTAGGTCACACGCACGTGAGGCGCCCTGTTACGTTGCAGGGTCTGAATGTGCTTATTTCCTGGGTTTTGGTATGATTTTGGTGTAAATTCAAGTTATTATCAGGAGCCCCCAACTATTCTTTTTTATTGATAAATCAGCTAATTTACACCAGGAAATACTGTTTTTGGGGTGTGGTTTTCTCTTGTCTTAGACACTCTGAACCCGAAAGACTCGCAACCTGCACGCCAAAGTCGCACCGGAACCTGAAGGACCACAGAAAGCCCTGTACCTAGGGTTGAGGCCTGGGGTGACCCAGCTACAGGTCTGGAGCAGAAATTCGCAAAACATATCTCAGACGCTTGACCGATGCCTTGTCGCTCTGTGAGCAGCTGACATACAAGAAACTTGAAATCTTGGTCTGTAGATGCCCTAACCCTAAAAAAAAGACCCAAAGCCCTAAATTTGAAATCTTGGTCTGTAGATGCATACGAGGCCAGAGGTCGTTCTTAACCCGCCCCCCTCCCCCCCCCTCCCCCCCTCCCCCCTCCCCCCTAATGGAAGGCACGATATATCGTGGCGCCTGGTGCGCGTGTAACCAACTAAGTCCACGAAGATAGAGCTTTCGTCACCCCCCTCCGGGTCTCAAGTTAACTAGATACCGACTTGCGATAATTAAATCTGAATATATCGTAATTTGCAAGGAGTAGCAAATTTGATAAATAATAGAGAGGAGGCTTAGGTAAGTTCAGATGGATAGAAAATAAAATAAGGATTTTTCTATATAGCATATATATATATATAGAAGGTCTACCATGCACATACCTGAGATGCCCAATTTGATTTCAACACTCAATATATTATCTACCAGATTTTGAAGTCGAGACGTGGATTTACTCGAAAAAGATATTTAGATCGACGATACAAATATGTCCATCTCGAAACCCGCAGCCGTCCGTCTCTCTCTCTGTCTCGCTCTCTCTCTCTCTGTCTCTCTTCTCTCTGTCTCTCATTCTGTATCTCTCTCTGTGTCTCTCTCTGTGTGTCTTTCTGTATCTCTCAGTGTGTCTCTCTCTGTATCTCTCTCTTTCTGTATCTCTTTCTCTCTATATCTCTCTCTTTCTATATCTCTCTCTCTCTCTCTCTGTCTATATCTCTCTCTTTCTATATCTCTCTCTAAATCTCTCTCTCTCTACTTTTCTATGCCTCTCTCTCTGGGTCTCTTTTTCTATCTCTCTCTGTCTCGCTCTCTCTCTCTCTATCTCTCTTCTCTCTGTCTCTCTCTCTCTCTCTCTCTATCTCTTTCTATATCTTTCTCTAGATCTCTCTCTATATCTCTCTCGTTCTATATCTCTTTCTAGGGCTCTCTCTCTCTCTCTCTGTGTCTATGCTTCTCTCTCTCTGGGTCTCAATCTGCGTCTCTCTCTGGTTGTCTCTATTTGTCTCTCTCCGTCTCTCTCTCCCTCTGTGTCTCTCTCTGGGTTTCCTTCTCTGTCTCTCTCTTTCTGTATCTCTCTTTCTATCTTTCTCTAATTCTCTCTTTCTTTTTCGTTGGATGACTATATCTCTCTCTATTCTTCTCTCTCTGGGTATCTTTCTATCTCTCTCTCTCTCTATATATCTCTCTCTCTTCACTCTGTCATTCTCTCGAGTCTTCTCTCTATCTCTCTCTCTCTATCTCTATCTCTCTCGCTCTCTCTCTGTCTCTCTTCAGAGGTCCAGCAAATACTGGCGTCTCAACGGCTTATACTCCGGGAGCGGCGAGACACAGGCAGGAAGCCCACCTCTTGTCATGGAGGGATTACTCTCTCTATTGATTCGATACGGTGAATCGACAAGTTCTCGAGTAGGAATTGCGTGCGGCCCGTGTCCCGGAGCCGGAACTGAATATCATCCTGAATCTCCATCCTTGAATTGGCTATTGGCCTGCAGGCCAGGACCCTGCCACCAGGGTGGCTAGTGAGAGACGAGTGCGTCAGGGATGTCTCCTTGCACCTAGCTTGTGGACCCTCATCACCGTAGCTTTGTTTCGGGCCCTGGCGGGAGTCACTTCTGTTGCATGGATTCAGGAAGACGCGACCATATTTGCAGAAGACTTGCTCATGCAATGGGTTTTCGCCTGTGTGTAGGACCTCGAATATATGGTCCGCACGATCGAGCGCTGCTTTCATATCCTGGGTCAGCTAGGCCTGCAGGTCCAGCATCGCAAAACGCAACTCATTGTGGCGTACACAGGTCGACAAGCGCGCCAATACTGGCGTGCCCATACGGCCTCCGCTTCGGAGGGCCGCTTCTTGCTTATACCACAGTCCAATCAAAAAGTCCTTCGTCTGTCGATTGTCACGCACTTGACATACTTAGGTATTGTTCTTTCATATGAGGATGCCGCCACCGCCACGGCAGATCGGTTGCTGAAGCGCAGCGGGCTCGCTTGCACAAAATTCTCCATTCTCGCACCCTCCCCTTTGCCAAGCGAGTGCAGTTATGGATCGCCTGTGTTAGGAGCTCTGCACTATATGGTCTTCATCTGGTGGACCTGCAGCAAAATCACATAGCACGCATCTCCATCACATTGGTCAGGCCCTTGCGGGCTATCGCGCGCAGCTTTGCGCACATGACCCAGGAATCCAGCCGGGCACTGCTAGAACGCCTGCAAGTTGAAGACCCCCTGATTTACCTGTTGCGACGCAGCCAAAGCCGACTCGCAAAATCCCGAGACTCCAGTGATCCTATGGTTACACGACCCCGGATCATCAACTGGCTCGTCCAGGTTACTGAGTCCAAGTTGGCTCTAGTATTCTCACCTAGATCAGGTACCGGCCGGATACTCGGAAGCCTCTGGCTGCTATCAAGTTGCGGACCCGGAGCAGGCCGCCACCGCCTTTGACCAAATTGTTCTTCTACCCGGCCCCCTTCAGGGAGTGCCGTACGGGACACCGGTCGCTGGTAAATATGGCCCCAGGGATATTCAGTTCTCGTGCCCTACGTGCCAGTTGTGGTTTCCTGACCTGGCCACTTTGAAACGGCACCACAGCCAGTATCATGAAGAAGCCCTGCCGAATCCTCTGCTTCAGCTAGACGCTGCGGAGGTGCGCCGGCACAGTGTGGATGGTATGCCCGTCTACAGACACTACAATAAGGATTTCACCACGTGGTTCAATCTGAAGCGACACATTCGACAGGGCCACTATACTATCCAACGACAACAACAGGATCTACCCACCGAAGGGCTGCTCTCTAGTACGCCTACTAGTCAGCCCAGGTCATCAGACCCGCCTCCTGCGCCATCGGCCCCCCCCCATTCCTCCGGTCCGGACTCGATTCTGGCCCCTCCTCCTCCGTCCGTCCCCCGAAAAGATCTGCCCTCTTCGCCTGCAAGCACCGAGGTCACGCCGGCCCTATATCCAGAGGTGCCGTATACCACTGCAGCTCCCACAGGTCGCCTCTTGACGGCATCGTACCAGCGAGGCCCCAAGTCTGGCTGGTCTTTGCCCGACGCCCGGAGGCTCAAAAGATCTTACATATTTTTTGTGCTACCTGTGGCCAATGGCTCGTATCCGTGTGCAGTATCCGTGCGCAGTATCAAGCTCCATTACAGGTCGGTATACAAGACTCTTTACGTGAAGTAGAAATTCTGCAGCGGCTGACTGTCGGAAAATTGGCCATTTCGTCTCGCCTTGCGCATTCTATGGAGCCGTAGTCTCATATACAGACCAACACTCTGTCCGGTTCTTTGGCAGGCCCGAGTTTGCTGCTTGGCTAGCACTTGCCAGGCCTCATCCGATCCCGCCCCTGCAGCTCTCACCAACATCGATGACCAGCGAGGCTACAGCCATGGATCTGGTCAACGAGGAGAGGAACGTCTTGGGGAAGCGTACTCTGCAAATAGATTTGGAGCCCACCCCGGCCAAGTTGCAGAACCCGGGAGGCAAGGGACCCCAGGGGAACAGGGGAGGGATCACTCGCCAGCAGCAGCCACCAACGGGTCGAGGCGGTCGCCAGACGACCCCCTTCCAGGGGAGCCGGGGACGCGATCATCCCGATAATCGCAGCGGACCCTCAAGGACCTCTTCGGAAGATCACGCACTACTCCATCGAGTTGCCAAGGCCCTCATTGTCCAGGCGGACTATCTTTAGCGATTTCAGAGCGACCATATCGTCATCTTCACGTTCAGGACAGGCAACGGCCCACAGCTCATGGTGCCGCTTCTGCAGCAGGTTGCGGCCACTTGGCGCGAGCAGCGCCAGAAGAATCAGGTGACCAGATCGCTGAAACAGACACTTATCCAGCACCACGCAGCGGAAGTGGTCACCAGAGTGACAGCATTCGCGACGGACAAGGAGTCACAGACCAAGGCCCAGGAGTTGGGCTGGATTATTTCCGACCTGGAATTCAACTACTGAGATTGGGATGCCGAAGAGAAGCGGCTCGTCCCCCGACAGGCGGAGACACTCCCCCAGGACCAGATTCTAGTGGACTCAAGGTGCCTCAAGACGTTGTTGAAATACCCGGACCTCATCCTGAAGTTCAGTGGCGGCCGCAACGCCAAGCCAGTTCCGACATTAGAAACAGCGACTGTTGTGCTGGAACTCTCCATGCAGCTGCCCGAGGCAGCGGAGGCGATGGCGATCTTTCGGAAGTGGTATGCCACCTCGGCCCTCCTGCTCCTCTCTCTTCGTCTCAAGCCGGCCCGCCCGGAGCGGTCGCCGCTGATCAAGGAGATTCAGGAGGCAGTAGGATGGTAACTGGCGGGGAGCTCGGATCCATGTGTATTCCTGCCACATTATTACGGTTGGTATTGCATAACCCAGATAATCTGTGCTATCTGCATGCTGCTGCCTACATATTGACCTTCGTTCGGCACCACGCCACGCCAGACGGCCCCTGCGAGGGTGCCGCACCCCTAGATCACTCCTTGTGTGAGATATTGGATACTAGCACCACTAGGCCCCGGATGCCTGCCCGGGTGGGGCATACTCCTACAGGATTGGCCACGAATGCATCATCAACAGGACTGCTTAGAGTTCATTCATTATCTGCTGGATCAGCATTGTGCATTGTCGATGGGAAGCTAGGCCAGTGCCTGGTTCCATCGCCGCTCGACGGCCCCTTATTCGCGATCTTATCAGTATGGATCTTCCCTTGCCTAAAGATGCTCCCACCACTACTATTCAGGACTGCATCGCCAACTGGCATGAGCAAAAAAATCCCTCATGGACTCCTACAAGCCCCGCAGTTCTTACTGGTCAGCCTTGCTCGTTATGCTCATCCGACCAAAGGTAAGAACAAAACTCGCGTGCCGTGTAAGGCTATGCAACAAGCCAAATTCCCCGTCTTTCGAGGCTCGGGACACGAGGTCCACTAGGCCTCCTATGTACTGGTGGCGGGGTTCTGCACCTGGGGTCGTCACCCCAGCAACGACATTATCGCACCTTTCTTGCGCATCCACGAGACTTCACTGCCTCTGACTCTCAGGCACTTGCTGCGTCCTCTGCTGGAGGCGCAACTCCTGTGGGTGCCATGGGGATCTCGGCCCCCAGAGGGCGGACGCCGGCCCCTTCGGGGAGCCCGACCTACACCTACACCTGGAGGTATACGGAAGATGACAAGTCGGCCGAAGTATGTCATCCAACATACGCCCGGATCCTGAGTGAGAATGGCTACATTCTCTGTTTTCGTCTCACAAGCTTCTGATCTGTATAGCAAGTGATGCCGGTGTTAGTAGGAGACTACGAACTGCAGGATTTATCCTGGCAGTACTATGTCTGTTTCGTTGCTCAGTCGAGCTGAATGTTGCATATGGCGATATGTATCCACAGCTCCAATTAGCCGCGCTGGATTCATTTATTTTGAACTCGGCGCGTCGCCTTCGCCGCGCAAGGGACCAGGGGACGGTTCTGCGATCGCAAAAGCAAAGAGTCTCTACCTCTCTTTCTCTCTCTCTCTCTCTCTTCTCTCTTTGCTTGTCTCACTCTCTGCGATTGTATATTATATATAGATACCTCGTCTGGATATAAGATCTATATTTAAACGTTAAAACTAGTATAGTATCCCGCATGTGTGGGATTGCTAGGCATGGCCAGCTTTGCTAATACCGCGGAGCATCGTACGCTGTAGAAATAATTTAATATTTTCCTTGCTCCTGGCCGTCTTCCATGAGTAGTACTCAGATAGGGAATACTAAAAACTCACGGATCTCACGGGTTTGCTACACGAACGCTGTTGGAAAGCAGCGGGCCCCTATGCTGTTGGTTCGTTTGAGTTGTGCGTATTATGCATACTATTCATATATTATCTATATCTCTATCTATATATATATATATATATCGTAAATGATACTGATTTTTTTATTAGATCTTAGATGAAATATTGACAGAGGGATATTCGTACTTGTTAATATTTATAATTTTCTGGAATTAAAGTAGATATTTTCTGAAATATTTCTAAATATATATTTAAAGATATTCATAATTTTCTAGAATGAGGATTCTATGAGTGCGGCAATCTTGCGGAGAGCGGGACCTCCCAAAGCGCACGCCGTATCGTATCAAGGGCGAGTGCAGCGCGGGACTTCTAAAACGCGAGCAAGAGAGGGCGTTTAGTAGCGTTTTCATCTTCCGGAGTACGGGGCCTCTAAAGCACGCAAAGCATCCCATAGATCCCTCTATTTGTAGGATCATGAGGGTTCTTAACTAGATACCGACTTGCGATAATTGAACCTGAATATAACTTGATTTGCAAGGACCTATTAGCAAATTTGACAAATGATAGAGAGGAGACTTAGGTAAATGAAGATGGAGCAATTAGATAAGCGGACTATAAGTCAGTCAGCTTATTCACAACAGATAAAATAAGGATTCTTCTTTATAACATATATATATAGAAGGCTTATCATGCACATACCTGAGAAGCCCAACTTGATTATTCCACCCAATATATTATCTACCAGATTCTGAAGCCGAGACATGGTTTTATTCAAAGAAAATATTCAGATCGACGATATAAATATGTCCGCCCCGAAACCCGCAGCCGTCCGTTCAGAGCCATCATTGGCTCCATTATTTCGAATTAACGAGGTTCTATATAAATATGAACGAAGGTCGAACTGAAATTTTTCCCTCATCAATCAATCCCTCTCGCTCTCTCTCTCTATCTCTCCGTCTCTCTCTCGTTCTCTCTCTCTCTCTCTCTCTCTCTCTCTCTCTCTCGCTCTCGATTCCTGAACCCACCATAACACCCTAAACCCTAAACTAATCACAATACTACCTTGAACGAATATGAATATCGAAACTTACTACAATATATAAATTCCTATATGCTCATATATATATATAGATTCATATATATATATAGATATATACATTACATATAATGAAGCATCGGATGGTTGATGATATATGCCGAATACCAGAAATCTTGTTCCTAGTATCCGCTGGTTGCCGACGTCAGCAGCACCTGGGGACATGGGGCACAAACACATGCGAGGGACACATGCAAATTCAGATGCAGGGCCCTGGGCTCGCATATATCTCCTTATTTTGATATCATTCAAAAATCAGATAGTGTTGTTGTCCTTGCGACACCAAACGTAAGTCGAAGAAATATATATCGTACTAATAAAGAATACTAGATTTCATCCTTATCACGAATCATATGTTCGGCTATATGGAGATATATATTAAAGCATATAAGAGAATCGCCATCCAGCTCAGCAAGGAAATGAAGCATGACGACAATATTCTCATCTTTGAATTTGGCTATCACGATGTCTCCGTCAGAAAATCGAAAGACCCCTCTATATATAATCGCCTATTCTTCAAATATATCCCCTATAGAGCTATCAAATACCTCTAAAATCAGGATGGTCATGGCCTTTTTTATTGCCGATCAAAAAAGTTGCCCACGAGGGAGTTCTTCTTATATGACGAGAAATTATATAATCAAAGCTTCGCGAAGCACAATATTTTCGAAAGATTTGGAGATATCCGTCATATTATTTTCAAATCATTTGAATATTTCAAATTTATTCTCGTGAATACAATACGAAAGGAGCTTGCCATATCGGATCAGAAATTCGGGCAGATGAACGACCGTATGGGATGTCGGCACCCAAGAGTCTGGTCCATAGATATGCAAATATAATTTAGAATAATCTTTGATAGATCCTCTCAAGGTCGTAGGATCTATCCCGCCCGTTGAAATTCTTTTTCGCAATATGCCCAAATATTTCATAATATGAAAATTCTATGATAGCACGAGGTCGTCGTATCTTCTCACTATTTCACGAGAATTAATTTGTCATCCGCACCAGCGAATTGCACCGGCTAGTACAAGGATTAGAAGAATTCGAATTCGTATATTTGCTGCTCGGGACAATCTTTGATACGGAGGCGGCCTAATAATACTGCAATCTCGCTACTGGTCACGCCATGGATCAAGTAAATATAGATCCAGTCAACTATGCTCATTTCCGAATATTCTGCCTCATATTCGATATCAAGAAGTATCCCAGCATATAATTATATCTCAGAGTTTTCTCAAACGCTGGAAAATCCGCCATGCTGCCTGGAGAGATAGTTCATGATCTCGCAGACCGAGCGTGTTATACAAACGAAACCTGCTGAACTCGGCGCATGTGGGCGACAGAATATCGCCATGGTCATAGAATCTGATCCGGAGGGTAACTATATTGGAATATCTCATATAGAAAATTATCCCCGATATATCTTCATTTTCAGCAATCTGTTCCAAGGCTGCCTCGTCTGCTATGAGAATAGTCAAATCAGCGAAGATGGGGAATGATATGGATATCCGAAGTATCCCAATATGTCTCAGATCATGATCTACGAATATGAGTTAGATGATATACATCCAAAGCAGAGTGAGACCGTCGATCCGATTATAGAGATTATTTCTCAAAATCTTTCAAAATTCCCAAAGAAATTCGTACGCGAGATCTTTGTCGTGCTGGGCAAAGCTCCAGTTCACGATCTACTGGTTTCCCGGGCTGAGATGATCAGTATATAATGACGAGCTTGAGATCATAATTTGAGATGCCGTACCACATGACCTCATCACTCGATAGTACTGCTCCATGCCGATGTAGTGCTGGAACAACGCGGCAGGCTATACGAAGGGCTCCCGAACAAATTTGGTGCTATCGGCCTCATATGAGATATTAATATATATGGTTATTTGCCCAAAGGCAGACTCCCAGGATCTCTTCTCCGTCCCTAGCTCGCTTAATCGAGCCCGCGAGGTTATAGCAAAATCATCGGCGAGACTTCCGACCGCCTTCAAATCATTCAGAACTGGTTCTGGAAAATCAAAATCTTCCTTCCCAGGCTTCTCAAAGGTCTAGAGCTGGAGCTGGACGTCATTAGTGCAGGAAATGCAAGTGCGAGGGATACGTATGGACCACCCTACAATACGAATACTCATGAGCATATAGCGGTCCAGCACAACTCCGATGAATTCTTATTCCTGCTTGTATAACCCTTAAACCCTATAAGCCCTAAATCCTATATAAACCCTAAATTATATATAAGCCCTTCATTTGCCCACACATGGAGAAACTCTGCATGCAGTACACACATCCTTGGCATGGCAAGACTGAAGCTTGAAAGATATATGTTATATCATTGTAAGCAAGTTTGGGTAATTTTACCATATCTTGTTGCTACACATGACCTCTATTCGATATTTGGAGACTGAGAGGTTGCCAGAAGGTCAGGAGAATTAAGAAATTGAGCGTATATCATAACGAAGCTCACTTATTATCAAACCTCCAAACCCCCCAATCACCAAAATCCTTCTCTACCTTGACTCTCCACTTCAGACGCATCTTGAGCCACGCACTAGTGGCATAATTTCTGAGTAAGCACGTCGTATCATTCTTGTCGTATGGATCATGTATGCGTACCTGGCAAGGCTCCTTCCTCCTCGGCGGAGAGTCGGATCAACGGACTTCGCCGCTTAAGAAGTAGATACCCCAAGCGGCAGATCTTTATCATATTAGCCCCCGTACTAATCGGTGGACTTCCCAATGGGCCATAAACTGCACTGCTAAGCTAAATTCGCTGAGTGACTGGATGGGCGAAAAAAGTCATGGATCTGAGATTTCCAAAGATCCTCGCGTCGCTATTCCAGCTTCATCAAAATTGCGTCGTGAGATCATCAACCACTCGATGCTGATGATTATTCTCATGACTATTAGGCCTACGTCGGAAGAGATTCGCGGCCATGCAGCACCGACATCCAGTAGTGAAGCTTCTGTCTGGGCAGTGTCTTAGTCAGCGCGTCACTGACAAGCTCAATATCGGAACGATGTCGAATCTCATCATGATGATTGACAGCTTGATCCGTAATCCAGCTTGTTCTCATACCGAAATACCGTAGGCGAACCTCGTCCTCGTAGAAGTCTTCTTTTATGCAGGCAACTAGAGCAGCTGCAATATCATATTCCATGACTTTACAAAGCGTCGCCTGCGCCAAACGTTCCACTAATCTACTCACACGAAGACCCAATGCCAAGTTTTGTGCCATG